GGCTGGGCTCACGGCTCAGCGGTAGAGCACTCGCCCGGCATATGCGAGGCCCTGGGTTTAGTCCACAGCACATTAAAAAAATGAATAAATAAAGTAGTGGTATTCTGTATAACTAAAAAAATATTAAAAGGGAAAAAAAAAAAAACCTATTCTGCAAAGACAAGAACTCCACTTGGATTTATTCAAGGTCCAGAATTCCTGGACAGCTCAGGACCTTGGTGTTGCTGAGCCTAATATGCCCAAGACTCCCCGAGGTCTCATGATCACATAACCAAGGGCCCATAACAAGGCCCCAGGCTGCCCTGGGGTTCACCACAGAACAAAGACAGTGCGCTCCACAGTTCTACTTCAGGAAACTTGGGTTTCACGTGGGCAATCTCTTGTTCAGACAGATGCTCAGGTGACAGCCGCAGACTTTCTCCACTGGTGCAGGAAAGCTGCTCAGGTTTGTGGCCTAGCTATTGTCAGAACTGGGGTGGCTGCAGCCCAGGAATGGACTCTCCTCTGAGGGAAAAGTAAAAGGAGTAGGGAGAGATTCAAAGAGGCCTGTGCAATTGTTGACATCCACACAGGTAATGATCTTGAGCTGTCCCAAAAGTACCAAACTGACTGCTGGAGTCTGCCCTATGATGTGGCATAGGCAGAACATCCAGAATCTGGCCCCTCATCTGAATGGATTTAGCTGAGACCTTTGGGAAGACAGTCCTAGCAGCCCACATTTCTCACTTACAGGTCTGACTAGGATTTGAAGCCAGAACTAGACAGGCCAGGTGTGTCCCTCAATAACAACTTATTCCAACTGTGAGATTTATGACTGTAAATGCTTAGGCTTCACCCCGAGGTTCTAAGTTAGTCTAACTGGAGGTGTGGATTTTTTTTTTTAATTTGGTTTTTTAATTTTTCAGGTAGTAATAACAGGCAACCAAGGTAGAGATCCCTGACCAGCAACTCAGAGGAGCATCAGGGCCCCTGCCATTCCACTGCCATTTCCCCACAATGGGGAAGACACCCTGGTTGCTGAACCACCTGGTATAGCCAAGTCACCTCCGTAAGGACAAAAGGGTGCATCCAAGAGGGGACATCCATCTGTGCTGTTTCCAGTTACATCTGCGATATGAGACAGGGGAGGGAGCATCCACTGAGGTGCCATCTAAGGCCAGTCTCACCAGATTTTGGTGAAAATCCCAGAAACAGGGAGTTTGTCAAGCAGTGCACAGAACTGGTGTGGAAGGTGGGAAGGGGCAGGATTCTGACACTGGGCGTGAAGATATCAGAAAAACTTCTAGAAGAGTGCAATCTCATGAGATTCACATAGTCCGGAGAGGACTCTCACTTCAAAGCATTTGTGTCTGACAGCTGTGCAGAGAGCTTCCTTCCAAGCCCTGCCTTAAGGGCTGCAAAGTTACCTCTTCAATGCAGAAACAAGGGCTGGTGCTGAGGGGGGATTTTACTGGTCCCAAGGCCCAAGCATACCCTCTCAAAAACATGCTTTCAAAACACACTGCCACCAGGAACATTCTGATGGGTTCTAAGTGGTCATGTGTTGCTGGTCTATACAGAATCTTCAAAAAATGACCAAAAAAGAAACAAATGACTTGTCCGAGTTGACACAACTGTCTGATGATTTCTAAGCAATTTAAACTGCACACGGTACTTTAACAGAACAAAAAGTTTATAACTCCGACTCTGATGGCAGGGTGGCCTGCTCCCCCTGAATGGCCTCACCTGAGAAGGAAGTCCAGGTGTTCTGAAACAGGCCATCAGAAGGGAGGCTGAGACCCAGCCAGGAAACCAGCACGTGCTTGTCTGGCCACATGCACGCAGCTACTTGAGATTATGGAAGCTGAGAAGACAGCAAACCTGTCTCCCAGGCACACCTGAACACAGCTTCAGAAACTACGCCAGGTTTTACTGCTAACATAGCTGATGATCCTCTATGGGCAGGACTGGGTACTTTGTATTTATTTTAAAAATGATTTTGTCTGACAATCTTAGGAGCAAATTATATTGTCATTGACCTGACGTCCTCTAATAGGTACCGTGTGTGTGTGTGTGTGTGTGTGTGTGTGTGTGTGTACACCAGGGAAGTGTCCCAGGTTGGGGTGAGCACAGTTGAGGCTATGATCTGCCCAGGATAACTAGTGACATGCTTGGAGGCAGGAAGTCATCCTAGCATTGGCCAAAATCAAGCCATCATGTAATTACGTTTGTGTAATTTTAGGTGTCAGAAAACACTAATGAAAGTACTACTGGGACTAAGGAAACCTGACATTTGTTAGGGTCTGTAAACAAGTCAGGATGGCAATAGCAAATGTTAGAGTCTGTAAACAAAGTCTGGACGGCGCCTGGCATTTTGCCAGGGGAAGTGGTTTGTGAGGTGGCGCCAGCGAGCCATTAAGTGTGGAGATTTCTTATTAGTTGACTGCTGTATCTAGTTTATGCTAATTAAGATAAGCTGTGTGGAATGTATAAATATCCCTCCGGTCCTACAATAAACGGCTCCTACTCCTGCTGTATCAATGTAAACAAGTTGCTCGTCACCCCCCGGATATTTTGCTGCATCCGGACTGCGGCAGACATTTAATTCTTAACTGGGGGCTGGGGATATGGTTCAAGCGGTAGGCTCGCCTGGCATGCATGCGGCCCGGGTTCGATCCTCAGCACCACATACAAAGATATGTGTCCGCCGGAAACTAAAAAAAAATATTAAAATTCTCTCTCTTTAAAAAAAAAAAAAAAATTCTTAACTGTATTAGGTAACCATTCCTGAGTTGAGCTTATTTCCTCAGCTGTAAATGGAACTGCAACCTTCCCTTTTCACAGTGGCTTGGTGAATACCGTGGAGGTCTGGGGAACACTGAAGTAAGGTATTGTGCAAAGGAAGACAGACATCAAATATTAGGAAAGTTCTGAATTCCAGGAAATATTTTCAAAAACTAAATCACATCACATGAAGGTGTTTTGGAGAAACCATCTTTCTAGTACTGAGGAGGGTTACACAGGGTGGGGCGCAGCTCAGTGCTAGAGCATTGGCCCAGTGTGCGGGGGGCCTGGGCTGGATTCCCAGTACTGCAGGGGTTGAAGGCTTTATATAAAAAGGTGTTTAAGAAGACAACATCACAAAAACACAAAAGTGAGGCAAACTTAAAAAACTATTTTTTAACTTCAAATTTCTCAAGAGTTCTGAACATCATTTACTATGAATGTCCAGGATCCAACCTCTGTGGTCACCTGGCCATTTTCACATCACAGTGGAACAGCGTTCTGTGGGACCAGCAGGGGAGGTTATCTTACTATATATTCTTTGTAATTCTCACTGTGTGCTTGAATACAAAAACCATAGGACATGTCTGCAATAAGAGTTGGGTTTTTTGATTGTGTTTTTTTAAAAACATCAACATGTATGAATGCATGCTGGTGAGCATTTGATAGCTGGTCTATTCTAGCTCTAAATTCATTGTTAAAATTTCTTAAGACCAGGTCACTATCATATCCTCCCTTCTGTAAGGCCACTATGACCGTCTTCTCAGCAGGATGGAGAATGACCCTTTGTGCTCTGCAGGAGATGCACACTCCACTGCTTTGGGCAAGGGTGTCTGCTATGACAGACAGAACCTGCCCTTGTCAGTCCAGCATCAATTTGGCGAGGGCCTCTGGACCAGCCAGAATGAAAATATGACTTCTGCCACACAGAAGTTTTTTCTCACTTTGAATCCCAAACAAAATTTGTACCTGATTATTAGACAAGACCTAAACTAGGTAAGAGGCAGCAACCCAAGGTGAGACTATAAAGAAAACATGGCAGCATCTTAAGCTAAAAAGTAAGAGAAATAGTGGCAGAATTGAAGTCTATGACTGTAGGTTTCTGTCATGCTTATATGAATGCTATAAAGGATCAGTTTAACAGCTGGCAGCAATGGCCATCAAGCACACAGATTAGATGGGAGAAAGGATTACAAGGTTTGGCAAATAGCTTGCATGGGCCAAGAGTGGTCACAGACTGAGCAGCAAGTATTGCATCTGTTTAAAGAACGGACCTAAGAGGTCATTTTACAACTCTTTACTGGATGATGAAAGCATCTTCCTCTCTCCTCATGAGCTGCAGGCATGCATCACGGCTTCTGTGCCCTGGGACTCCTCTGACCAGCAAAACAAGGGTTTCAAGTCTCCTCGTGAGCCCCACCTGTGTTACGCTGGACACCACAACATCATGGAAACAGAAGACTCTTCAGGAGATAGAGCAGAAACTCCATGCAAGGCTCTGGGAGCAGCTGCACAGGCTGGGAGAGAGTTCCTTATCAGTTAACAGGCTGGCATGAGGAATATGGCACTGACGTGGAACAAGGGTTAAAAACAGTGAGATCGTTCATATACATTTGAGAACATTCAGAGTTTCTTCCTGCCCATAGCTGGGATGTCATAAAATCCTAATGTGCTTCCATAAATTCCAGGTGGTTTTCCCATCTCACCCACCGTAGCTTACGTTCAACAGCTCCAGTATCTTGTAAAAGTGGCTGCTGGATCAGCCCACTTATGTCTTTGTCTGAGGAAGTTTGTTTTATCTCTTCCTCACCCTTTACAGAAATAATGTCACAGGGAAACCCAAATTCTCCAAAAGGTACACACAGTCACACTGATAATCACTGGGTGTTTCTAACTCCTCTTAGATACTGGCAAGGAGACGAGAGGCCTGCTGCCAATCACCCACCCTCGTCCACCTTCGTAGACAGAGACATCATAGCAACTGTGAGTCTATACTAAGAATGCACAAGGCAGAGGCAAAAGCAGCACTGGCCTGTCTGGGTGTGGGCAGCAGTGCGTTGACTATCTGCCCAGCCACACTCTTCAGTACCTTTTGGTTATCCATAACTCCGCACTGGAGCTGCAGATCTTTGCTGTGGAGAACTTGGATGTGATGGAGCTGCTCCAGTAACTTTTTTCACAGTACTGAATGTTAATAATGAGAATGATTTCTAATCAATTTAAACTGCACACAGTACTTTAACAGAACAAAAAGTTTATTACTCCCACTCAGTAGTTCCTGGGGGCTTTGAAGTTAAATCATACATAATTCGAGAAATACCAGGAATCTTCTTAATCTCAGTGACCATCTTTAACACCACCTGTGATAAAAAGAAAGATTACAAACACAAGAGTCAGATTCCACTGCACGTCCAACAGTCCTAGAGGGCGTGCTTCGCAATTTAACATTCAGATGTCATCTAATTTTACTACCATCCTTCATGAACATGGAATGATCTCTGATTAATCTTATAGAGTGAACCTATCTCACTCTATAATAGATATTAGTGACTTCAAATCAGTACTACTCACTGTAGTCCACGGACAGGTACTGGAAGACAAGAGATGCCCGCCATCAGTCCACAAGTGCCTACATAAACAGTGACCTGACACTGCCACGGCACCTAGCACATGGCTCTATAAGTCACCTGTGGCTTACACATGCAACTCTGAGCCACGCAGGGGACACTGATGCACTATCATCAGTCACTGTAAAGTGCACAGGAAGAGAGGATGACCTGGTCACTTGACTGGCCAAAGATTCAGCAAATTTAAGCCACATTCCCCACAAGCCAGCTATTAAGCTAGAACCAGGACCTCACATTAAAGTCTGAGTTTGATTTTCAGTTGCTATTATGTAAGGGGCTCCTTTGGCCCACTGTGGTGGAAAGACAGAGGGTGAAAGAAAATGATCAAAACTGGAACTGGAAGCATGACAGGCAGAGCCTTAGGCGGTTCACACCTGGACATGCACCATCAAACCTCATCCTTACAAACTCCTCTTCACTCCCAGGGTTTCCTGAACTTAGAGAAGTACAGGGGCTGGCAGGATTAGATTACAGTTGTGACTTTCTACATAGCAATCAGACATCTGCAGGGCATATTAAATTTAAGGGCCTTTTCTGCTGCCAAATATTAAAGGGTCAAATAAATGAAGACAGGAAAAAAAAAAAAACAAAAAACAGAGAACCAATCCCAAAAACATCAACTTCAACACAGCCTATTCAAGTCACTGTATCATGGAATCACGAGGTCCTGAAATGCACATTAGAAAGAAACATGCATACCTCCACAGGGATCTCGTTGCCAGGTGTCGCAGGCACACCAGTCATGAAGTCACTTGTGATGAAGGTTCGAATGACCACAGACCTCTGGCATGAAGGCTGCTTCTGAAGTGGGTCTCGATCGAAGTGCAAGGGCGTCAAAATCACTGGCATCTGGCTGATTTTCCCAGAATACCCTAGGGAAACAGATATGCAGAACCAATCCACACACCAGGGAAAAGAACCTAGTTCTGTGACTCCGCCCAGACAAGGTCAGCATGGGCACCCCCAGGCCAGCAGAAGGAGCAACTCACCAGACTCCCTGAGGATGTTGTGAGCCTCAAAGTCAGCCTGACGCAAAGTGCTGAGCACCCCTGTCGTTAAGAAAGTGGGTGTCACGTCAGTAGGAGGTTCCTTAACTGGTGGGCCAAAGATGTAGACAACTCTAGAAGGAAAGGGGAAGTTCACGATCAGAGTTCAGTAGGAGAAGGGAGGCACAAGTCCACCACTTTTCCACTTGCCTACGACCTCCAACTGGCTTCAGCTCCCAACAGCCAGGACCAGGACAGGCGCAGGATTGTGGGTGGATCTTCAAATACACCTCCCTCCCAGTGTGCTGCCTGAATACCAGCACTCCGTGTGCACAGGTTTATGTGACCACTACAACCTTTTCACATAATGTACTGGTTTGAATGTCCCCCCAAATTCATGACCAGTCAGAACCTGTGGGTAAAAACAGGTGTGCAGGTGTCATCAAGACGAAGTCATATTAGACTTCAGTGGGCCCTAATCCAATGACCAGTGTCCTATAAGAACAGGGAAATTTGGTTTTGTGTTGTTTAGGGGCGGGGGGGGGGGGGTTGTTGTTTTGCTACAATGCTAGGGATCAAACTCAGGGCCTTCCCCATGGTAGGAGAGCATTTTACCAGTGAGCCACTGCCCTGCCCAAGAACAAGCAGTGTGGAAACAGACACACACAGATTAAAGCGTGCCACAGGAATATGGAAAAAGACACCAGACTGTGCTGCCACAAGCTGAGGACCAGCAGGACACCACCAAGTCCAGGACCACCATAGATGCTTGGAAGAGGAAAGAGCGGATCTTTCCCTGGAATCAACACAGAGAACATGGTCCAGCCAGCACCCTTATTTCAGACTTCTGGCCTATAAAAGGATAGATATCTGCTAGGTTAAGCCCACCCAGTCTGTGGTATTTATTACAGGTAGCATCAGGAAATCAATACACATAGTTAACAAATAAATAGGTTTGTGGGAGACCAACCTCACATGTGACTGAGTCACATCCCCCAACTGGTTGCTGAGGCGCTCAGTCACAGAAATGTGGCAGAGCTTTCCCCACCATTCTTGGGTTTGAGGGTCGATGTCTCGTGCATGGGTGTCTCTTGCTACAGCCCCATGAGTGAAGCTATGCTCACCTGTTATAATATAACCCCTTGCCCTGTTTAGATAGAATCTTCCATGGAAGTGCCTTGTGTGTGTCCCCTTTTCTTACTGTGCCCTGGGTGTGGCCTACCCAGATGTCAGTCAACCTGCTGACAGTGGACATCATGAAGATAGACTCAGCCCCCTGAAACCTGACCCCCTTGCCTCATTTGAATAGCTTCTCCTCAATAAAAGGGGCTCTCGCTCTCTCTCTCCCTATGGACCCTTAAGGTCAGAGGAGCCGTCACAGCGACCTCAAAGAAAAAGGTATTTGTGTCTCTTGTGTGGTTATTTTGCGCAGCCCAACTAGCCCAATTTAACTGGAGTGACCCCTGAACCTTTTAGTCGCGTGAACAGAAACTTGGCATAAGTTCTTTATGGTAAGACTTCAGAAATTGTAACATGCTAACATGCATTGGAAAAGCTCGAAGTTAAGAACAATTTCTTCAACCTAGTTAGCCCACGTTTTTTAACCCCATAATGAGAAGAAGTGCTCCTAGATTTTTATTTCCACACTATTAAAAACGTCACTCAAATAGTACTTAGTATCCTGCTACAATTTTCCCAGAAGAGTATCTTACTAACACTTTAGGGAAATATCTGTTTGAAAGACATGAAGACGCTGCAAGTGTTAATAAGGGTTTGGAGCATAACTTGAAGAAATCGGGACCAGAAAATTGTAACAGCCCGAAGTGTGCCTTGCCAAGTCACAATCTTTACCAGAAAAACAGGAGGGAATCAGACAGAGATCTGAGTGCACCCAGTTTTCCCTATGCCAACCACAGCCAGCAGGTAACTGTCACTGGTCCTCAGGCCAATCTACCATTAGCAAAGAAAACAAAAGTTTAATAATGTCTTTGCTTAATATCCACATGCAGCAAAATATACAAAACATGAAAACGACCGCTACCCAACTACTTCACTGACTCCCTCCAAACACACTGTAGAAGGTTTTGTCCCTAGAAAGTAAGCCATACCTCATGTAAACACCGTCACTCCTAAAGCCCGTAAACCATCACAAAGGAGAAGGGAACTGGTTGAGAGCCTCAAACCTGAACTTTTCATCTTCTCCTTTCCTACAGGAGAAGCTGCAACAACGGACATGAAAATAGATACCCACACTGTGCAGATGAGTAAAACTGGAAAAGTCCCTCCATGGGCAAAGGTTCCCTTTCCAAATTAGGAAAAAAACATCATGAAAATAAAAAAATATTTTAAAATTGCAATTTCCAAAAAGGAACTTGGCAAAACATGTAAGCCCACTCAAGGGCTTGCTGGGTTCATGTTTTAAGATCTAGTTGTTAACTTGCTGACCTTTTTTCTTTTTCTGAGGGGTGAGGGAAGAAAGGTCGAGAAAGGAAGAAATAGATAAGGGAAAAAAGAGAAGTAGCACCTGAAAGGATAAAGCTTATTAAGTAAAAGTGAATGTGCTTTAGCAAAGAACACAAGCATGAGAAGAAGACTACCACTAAATAGGGAAGAGAGGTGGGTGGGAAAAACAGGGAGAAGGGGAACTGCACGGAAGATGGAAGGAGAACCTCATCGTTATACAGAATACATATATGATGTTGTGATGAGAAAAAGAAAAAAAAAAGTGTGTCACATTAGATTGGATAAGAGAAATGATGGGAGGGGAGGGGAGGAATAGGGGGGATAGGAGGGGCAGCAGAATAGAATAGACATTATGATTGATATATGTATATAGGTGACTCTATGACCAGTGTGATTCTGCAATCTGTACAATTAGAAAAATGAGAAATTATACCCTAATGATATGAATTGACAAGATCATTGTAATGTCATGTGTAGATTAAAAAAAAACACAAGACATAAATAAAAAACATGCTACTTATTAAAAGCAATCAGAAGACACTTAGAAATATGTTCAGACTGCCAGGCGCAGTGGCGCACACCTGTAATTGGTAGGCTGAGGCAGGCAGATCGAGAGTTCAAAGCCAGCCTCAACAAAAGTGAGGCACAAAGCGACTCAGTGAGACCCTGTATCTAAAAAGAATACAAAATAGGGCTGAGGATATGGCTCATTGGTCAAGTGCCCCCGAGTTCAATCCCCAGCCCGCCCCAAAAAATAAAATGTTCTGACATACAAAGTTTATGGAGACTATTAGCATGCTTCAGAAGATAAATTATAATGTCCCGAACAACTTTCCAGTGTCTCCTCATAACTATGCAGACTCAGCTAGGTTAATGCTAATGGGGAGCTTTCTCATTTCTATAGCAAACTTGAAAATGAAATCCCAAGTGATTATTTTGGGTTGTTAACTGCCTAATACCCATAAAAAATTGCAAAGTGCTAACAACTGTGAAATAAAAACATTTAATTAACAATCCAGTTTTAAACAAGTGACAATTTTAAACTGTAGGAGTATCGGGAATAGTCTATAAACCATCTGTTGGTATTTCTAATGTAAGACACTGATGTAAAATGAAAGGAAAAAAAGGTCTAAAAACTGCCAATCATACACTTCAATGTTACTATTTAATGATATCTGCCACAAGCCTATTTCTTTTAACTTTCCAACCTGGTATGTAATTCTAGAACCCAACAAACTTTTTTGCAATCTCCCTGGAAAACAGCATGTTACCATGAAACTGAGTTCATACCACTAATCTGGAGACCCATGTTGTGGTCCACACATGAGGTGTCCCCCAGAAGCTCATGTGTGAGACACTGTGACAATGTTTGGAGATGAAGCACTCACTGGGTGTGCAAGCCTCGATACTCAGCAGTTAACCCACTGATAGGGATGGACTGGGCAGTAGCTGTAAGCAGGTGGGGTGTAGCTGGAGCAGGCAGATCACTGCAGGGTGTGCCGCTGGCAGTTATGTCCATGAGCAGAACTCTTGCCTAGTGTCATGACCTGAGCTGCTCTCCTCCACCACCCTTGTCCACCATGATGTTCTGCCTCACCTTGAGCCCAGGGCATTGACCATGGACTGAACCTCTAAAACCATGAGCCAAAATAAACTTTTCCTCCTCTACATTGTTCTTTTCAGGTGTTTTGGTCACAGTGATGCAAAGCTGACTAAAACAACATGTTTTAAAACTACCTTTAATATTTTATACTAAAATTAAAATCCTTCCTATTTCTACTTTAAATAACAATAAATAAGGGCTGGGGCTAGGGCTCAGCAGTAGAGGGCTTGCCTAGCATATGCGAGGCGCTGAGTTTGATCCTCAGCACCACTTAGAAAATAAATAAATAAAGGTATTGTGTCCAACTACAACTAAAGAAAAATATTAAAAATAAATAGATAGATGAGTACATTGAGATGATCAAAACGAGATAATACTCAATATCTACTTAACCCTAACCAAAGCATATAACTGAAACATAAACAGAATCACTAGCTTTTCTTTATCTACATTTGAACCTTTTGGTCTTTCATCTAATAGGAAGACCTTAAAACACTGTCCTTCCACGTACATCCCCGTGCTTCCCCCAACCCCAACTCCTGCAGAAGATACCTGTTTATGTTGTGACACATCCGAGGAATGAGCCGGGCAAGGAAGATGAGCGATTCCCAGTCAGGTTCATCTTTACTGGAGATTCCACAAACATAACTGTAGGACCGACAGTCACCCTGAAAAGAGAAATGTAATCCATCATTTCTAATAGCTTTATAAAGCCAAAAAGTAAGCCAGAAAATGTTTTATGTATGGTGACACTAACAGCATTTTTTGGTTTTGTTTTTTAAGAACATATTTACAAATAAAAGTACATTACAGATGGTTCTTTAAAGATATGAAGAAATCTGGGGGCTGGGGATATAGCTCAGTTGGTTAAAAAAAGTGCTTGCCTTGCATGCACAAGGCCCTGGGTTCAATCCCCAGCACCATCAAAAAAAGAAAAAAGAAAAGAAATGATGTGAATAAATCCCATATTAAATTCCACTAGTTTAAAGAGAGCACCATGGTAATTTCAAGAATTTAACTGAAATATGCCAGAGGTCCACTGGGATTTAATTCCAAATGCCTGCACAATTATGGAGAGCCAGCTTGCTTAATCTAGAAGACAACATCTACCCACATTTATTAGGTAGATTAAGAATTTAAATGGTAGACCAAAAAACCTTAAACATTTACTTAAAAATAAAGTTATAAACCTTATAAACATTTACTTAAAAAGTTCACATCACAGTTTAGAGTAGAACAGTGGTTTCTAAACCTGGTGTAATACTTTCACATTTCATTTTCCTAAGCAATTCCTACTCCAGGATTAGTGTAAGCAGCAAATGGCAGAAAAGTTCTGCCAGTCAGGGAACTCGCACAACTCACCTGCACACCCACAGTTTTAATAGGCAGCAAGAAGGCACTCAGGGAATGCAGGCTTGTAATCTGCATCAGCTTCTCCTGATCCTCCTCGGTCGTGCAGGCCTTGACTCTTTGTAACAGTGTATGAGGCTGAGAAGAGCAGACACGGATTCAGGCTTCCGTCAATAAGGCATCTGTCCTCACGCAGCTACACTGACCAGCTCCTAACAGGGCCCATGCGGGGCGTCTCCTGACCTGCACATGCCACACACTACACCAGAAACTCATTCCTGAGAGCTGGGCCATGAAGGAGGGAAGCCTCCGGTACGAAACACAGACGGAATTTACACCCGCAAGTCACCAGCAAGTGAAACACCTAAGTCCAACTTATACCTTATCCCTAATAACTTTTGCAACAAAATTTTTTTTGAAGTATAGTTCTGTCCAATTCTTTTATTTGCTTGTCTTTCTCTACTTTTTAATTTCATTCCTCTCCAGAAATTAGTAATATCTTATAAACACTATACTTTTCAGATTTATTGCCCATAAATGACTCAGTAGAGATTAATCATTCATTCAAGCATCTATCCTGCAGTTCACATTTGTCCCATTTTTATGTCCATTTTCCGTTTTTTCACTCTCCTTTGAACTGGGGATTCCTCTTGGCTGATTCCCATTAACAGCTGGTGTGCGTGGGTAATGGAGATCAAACCCTGAGCTTCACACCCAGCCAGGTTCACAGCCCTTACTGGTTAGCTTTAACCTACCGAGGCCCAAGTTTTCAATTCTACAAACATAATAAATATTCAAATATTAATTCACAGTTGACATAAGTAGCATATTTGTTGCTTGATTTACGTTTCTACAGGTGTTCTACATCTGGGACAATGGAACAAAATGAATTGAGGTTAATTCCTCTATTTTAGTACTTTGTCTCAAGTGTTAACAGTATATTGAACAAGAGAATCATCTCAGTCCTGGCAAATAATTCAAGTATTTTTGATGCTCTGAATATTGTTACACACTTTTAAGTCAACAACAAAAAGGAGAGAGATTTTTATTTTTACACAGTCCATGTTTGTTTCAACTTTCCCATTTTCCAATTTCTCTGCTTACCAATCCTTTGCATATCTAAGACCTTTCTACTGGGATCCATCCCTCTGCTTCTCCTGTACTCAGTTACTTTAAATCAGTTGTTCCCAACCACCACTGCAGAGGCAAATTACATGGGATGTTCAGGTCTCATCCCAAACCAATTAAATAAGAAATCATAGGGAGATTGGCCAAAGAATACAGCAAAAGTTCTCCCCAGATGATTCTAATATAAAGCCAGGGTTGAAAACATTGCTTTTAATTCCTCAACTAAGGGACTATTGGTAACAAATTCTGACTATCTGAAAATGACTTTACTTTTGCTCTCTTCTTACAAGGCAGTTTAGCTGCACATCAGTTAATAAGTCTTGCTGTTACTCTGGCTTTCAGTAAAGGGGTCTTGCCTTTGTAACAGTCTCATCTTCTCTGCAGCTTCTTCCCTGGCAGCTATAACTTCACTAGGACAAGCCTCCTGGGTGTCACCTCTGCTTGAGATGTGTTATGATGCTGAATCTGAGACGCTGCCTTCCATCAGCTTGGAAAAATTAATTAATTCTTGCTACTATCTCCTTCTCTCCTACCCATATTTCTTTTTGAGGACTAATCCTACTTTGGGGCAACTTCCTAATATCAATCTTTGAATTCATGAATTCTGTTATAATCCCAGTTATTATTTTCACTCCTGGAACTTGGGTTTTTGTTTTTTCTTTTTAATCTGCCCATATTTAGTAGCCAACCTCTTATTCCCTCTTTTTATCAGCAATGGGTTCTTCTATTTCTATTCATTTTATACACTGTTTGCTAATTTGGTATCATTTATTCTGCTAGTATTTCTGCTCTTATTCATGATGCCTTACTTCTATATGTATTTGGTAGTTTTTTGATAAGCTCATAAGTATGGATCTCTGTCTATGGGGATTTTTCAGCGACTAGCTGAAGATCATTTCAAGGAGAATTCAAATTACTATCAACCTAGGTCCACTTCAAATTAAAATTCTTATCTTGCAGTTTTCAGAACAGAGGTATAAATTAACACCCTAAAATTGCAGGACTAGGAGACTCTTCCACTCACCCTCAATTTGGAGCTGAAGTGTTGCTCAGTGTGAAGACCTGATTCATTTTCCAGCCTTCATGGAACAGTTCTCCCATTGAGACGCCAATTCATAAATGGCAGCGTTCAGCCAAAGCCCTAGATCACAAGGGATTACTGGCTGCCTTCAGAGAAGGAAACAGCTCTGGCTGCTTGAACTGATGCTTCCAATTCATTCCTGACTCAAAGTATTTTCCTTACTTTTTTCCAATACACATGAAAGAATGTTTTAAAATGCTTCAGTGTTTCAGAATATCATTTTATCTGCATCTAAGTCTCTGTAGAATACCTTCTGAGTCATTTCAAAGACTTATATTACTCTAAATTTTCTTTCTTCCCATTTTTATGATGATTATAGACATAATGAATTCGTCTTTATATATTCATACATGACAATATAATTTGGTCAAGACTGTTCTCAGTAATTCCCCTTTTGCTCCCCTAATGGCCTTTCCCTCTGTGCTGTTCTTCCTTCTGTTTCATGAGAACCTACCCTGCTCCTGCTCCATGACCTTCCTTCCTTTCCAGCTTCCACACAGGACAGAAAGCATACCACCCTTAATTTTCTGAGGATGGCACATTTTGCTTAACATAATGCTCTCTAGTTCCATCCACTTTCCTGCAAATGCCATACCATTCTTGAATGGCTAAATAAAACCATGTGTGTACACACAATTTCTTTAGCTATTCACCCAGTGACAAACACCTAGGCTGGTTCCACAGTCTGGCTACTGGGAATTGTGCTGCTATAAACATGGAATGTGTACATTCCTTAGTGTGATGACTTGGATTGTTTTAGATAAATACGGAGAAGTGGGAAGCTGGGTCACAAGGCTATTCCATGACTAGGCTTTAGAGGAACTTCCATACTGATAACCACTGTGGTTGTACGAATTTACAGACTCACCCGACAGTGTAAAATGTTCCTTTTCTCCACATGCTCTCCAGCACTTATCATTGTATTGGGTATGGACGGGACAGGAATAAACCTGAGGGTATCATATTACCACAGAGCTTCATCCTTAGACCTTTTCATTTTGAGATAAGGTCTTGTTAAGTAGCTGAGGCTGGCGTGGGACACACAATCCTCTCGTGCTACCATATCTAGCTTTTCTTTTTGTATTCTTGATGGCTGCCATTCTAACTGGAGTGAGATCAAATCTCAGTGTAGTTTTGTTTTGTTTTCTTTTACTAGAGATTGAACCCAGGGATGCTTAACTACTAAGCAACATACCCAGCACATTTTTCTTTTTTATTTTGAGACAGAGTCTCACTAAGTTGCTGAGGTTGACTTTGAATTTGCCATTCTTCTGTCTCAACCTCCTGAGCTACTGGGATTCCAGGCATATGCCCCTACACCCGGCTCTGGCTGTAGCTTTGATTCGCATTTCTTTGACTCTCATGTAAGTTGGTCACTTCTATTTCTTCTGTTGAAAAATGTTTAATTATTTCATTTGCCTACTTATTGACTGACTTGTTTTTTAATATTAAGTTTTTTTAATTCTTTGTATATTCTAAATATTATTATTAATACTCTGCCAGAAGAGTAGCTAGCAAAGTTTTCTCCCACTTGGTTATGTTCTCTCTTCACTTTTTTTTTTTTTTTTTAGTTATAGATGAACACAATTCCTTTATTTTATTCATTTATTTTTAATGTGGTGCTGAGGATCAAACCCAGTGCCTCACATGTTCTAAGCAAGTGCTCAACCACCAAGCCACAACCCCAGCCCCACATTCTTGTTTCTTTTGCTGTGCATAAGCTTCCTAATTTAATGCCATCAGACTCACTAATTCCTGGTATTATTTCCTTAGCCCAAGTCCTATTATGGAAGTCATTACCTGCAACCATACTTTGAAATGTTGACTCTAGATTTTCTTCCAGAGTTTGCAAAGTTTCTTGTCTAATTTCTAGGTCTTTGATATATTTTGAGTTGACTTTTGTGCAGGGTTAAATAGGAATTTAGTCTTATTCTTCTACACATGGATATCCAATTTCCCCAGTACCCTCTGTTATAAAGGCTGTGTTTTATCCAATGTATGTTCTTGGCACCTTTGTCAAGGATCAGATGAACAGATGTATGGATTTCTGTGTGTCTTCTATTCTGTACCATTGGTCTACATGTCTGTTTTTATGCCAGTAGCATGCAGTTTTTGTTACTATTGCTCTGCAGTGTAATTTGAAGTTGGGAATTGTGATGCCTCCAGCATTGTTTTTTTGGCTTAGAATGACTGTGGCTATCCTTGCATCTTTTATTCTTCCAAATAAATTTCAGGACTATTTTTCCCAGTTTTGTGAAGACTGCCCTTAGTATTTTGATAGTAATTGCACTGTATATAGCTTTTGGTAACATGGCCATTTCAGCAGCATTAATTCTACTTATCCATGACATGGGAAGTCTCTTCGTCATTTTCCAGTGTCTTCTTTAATTTCAGTCTTTTAACAGTTTTCATTCTAGAGATCTTTCACCTCTTTGGTGTTGTGTTGTGTTTTGTTTTTTAAATTCCTAACTTTGGGGGGTTTTTGAGGCTATTGTGAATTGTTAGAGTCTGTAAACAAGTCAGGATGGCTCCTGGCATTTTGCCAGAGAAATGTTAGAGTCTGTAAACAAGTCTGGATGGTGCCTGGCAAAATGCCAGAGGGAGTGGTTTGTGAAGTAACACCAGCGAGCCATTAAGTGTGGAGATTCCTTATTGGCTGACTGATGTATCTAGTTTATGCTAATTAGATAAGCTGTGTGGAATGTATAAATACTGCTCCTGTCCTACAATAAACGGCTCCCATTCCTGCTGTATCAATCTACACAAGTTGTTCGTCACCCCCCCGATTATTTTGCTGCAGCCGGACTGCAGCAGTGAATGGGACTGTTTTCCTGCTTTTTTTTCTCAACAGATTTGTTATTGGTGTATAAGGAAACTATTGATTATGTATGTTGATTTTATATCCTTTTGCTCTCAATTTTCAAATAATGAAACTCCACTTAATTGTAAATACAAGAGTATGACATTCATTTCCTTACCATATAGATATGTCAAATTATTACCTTCTTAACACTTGCAGAAAAATCAGCTACTATTTTTAAAATATTGTTGGTTTCAGGAAAGTCCTTACAAATATAAGGTTCTTCAGCACATATCACTCTGATTGCCAGGCCAGGACCTAGGAAATAACAATAGTATTTAATATAAATTTTTACATTTAATATAAAAACACCAAAAAAATTAAAATTAAAATGCCATTATTCAAAAAATATAAAATTCTTATAAAATGAAAATCATAAGGGAGCTGGGGTTGTGGCTCAGTGGTAAAGTGCTCACCTAGCACATGTGAGGCGCTGGGTTTGATTCTCAGCACCACATAAAAATAAATAAATAAAATAAAATATGACAAAAAAATGAAAATCATAAATTTTTGTTTTGTTTTTCAGTGTTGGGGATCAAAAACAGATGTTCATACATGATAGGCAAGTGCTCTGCCACTGAGCTATATTCCTGGCCCAAGTAAAGTTTTTAAAGAATTTAATTTCAGGATTGGAGGTATAGCTCAGTAAAAGAGCCCAAGCTTAGCATTTGTAAGGTCCTGGGTTCAATACCCAGTTCCAGAAAATAAATTTCAAATCACAAAAATTTTAATAAAGGAATTCTCTAACATACACAAAATTAAAGAGAACAGTGTAAAGAACCACATGATATTCATTATCCAAATTCAACTACTAAAGAAAAATAATATGCTCTTTAAAATAAATGACAGTGTTCAATTCAAAGAGTTGTGAACCAGTAGTATTTCTAGTTTACCAAATACTTTCTTTTTTTCTATTTTACTAAATACCAAATACAGGTGATTAAAAAAAAAAAAAAAAAGACAGGTATACATGGATCTCATAAAAACTAGATTCTGTTGCTTTTCTACAACAGAAAAAAATATGACTTAAGGTGTCTGGTTGTAGGTGAAACCATAGCAATTAACTATCAATCATCCTTACTCTCATTCCTCAGCTTATTTTAAGTTGTTTTTAAAGCAGCAAAATCCTTTTGCCAGAGAAATTTTATAGGACAGAAAACACAAAATATAAAGTAGATTTTGAGAAAATCAAATGAGCCTACATGAAATGACAACCAAGGACAAAGGACTAATTGACTACCCTCCACTAACATTAACCAACCATCTTTCACCAGCCTACAAGTTGGGGACTAAAGATGTGAAATTGCTAAGCTTGATAATGTGCTATTCACCACATAGGTTAGACACTTTAATTACTGTTTGTGGAGGCAGTTCAGTGATTAAGAACAGAAACTTTGATGTTAAGACTATTGAGGATATAACCCTGACACTAAACCTTCTATTTTGTGTAACTTAGGGCAAATTAGCCTCATCCCTACTGTCCTCATCTGGAAAACAAGGTAATACTATTTTCTATTGTGAGGATCAAATAAGAATGTTTGAAGTATTTAGCAGAGTGCACAGTATATCAAAAGTACTCATGAAATAGTAGCTATTACTATGTTTTTAATTAGACCATTCTCCCAACTTACCACCTACACATGACTACAGAAAGCAAAAACTGAGATTTCAAGACTTGCCCAAGCTCAAAACAAAATAGGTTAAGACTCTCAGTCCTAACAAATAAATCTAGTGTTTTTTTGTGATGACAGTCAAATGACTATCTAGAATTTTGTTGCTGTTCATGAATTAGTTACACACAGCATTGTGCAAAGAGTTTTGCAGGTGAATGAAGCAGTCCAACCATTCAGACAATTCAGACATGGATAATAATGTAAGAGCACCAAGCCAGCCACAGTGGCATATGCCTATCATCCTAGCTGCCAGCCTGGGAAAGAGCTTATTTTCACTTCTGTAGAACACATCAGGATACATCGTATGAAGAACATATAAATCCTACCTCAACCATTAAGGATTGAGTGGCAATGTTATTAAAATATGCTGGACTCCCAAGGATCACATAATATCTAAATACAAATATAGTAGAAAATGAGCATTTAATAAAATAAATTTAGTAGATATCCAACAGAATTTGTTCTCAATCCTTTTCTTCCTCATATTAAAAACTCCTCAAAATGATAAATTATTCAAAATTGATTTTTCTTTATCATGAAGGTCTAAAGACAAATAAAAGAAAATCAATTCTGTTTTTTACCTGGAAATGGATGTCTGGAAACTAAATCTTCTGGAAGTCCAAGTTCTCTGCCTAAAATTCTCACTTCATCTTTATGAAAATCTTTCAGAGGTTCTATTACTTTTCCCTAAAGGAAGGTGGAAAAGCCAGTCAACATAGTTAGCAATCAAAATAAGACAGAAAACAATGGGAAATAAGTAAACAATATTCCTGTTGGCATTTTCCTTAGCTTAAAGCATTGTCTTTAAAAACACATCTTTTCAACTGGTGATGTAGTTCAAAGGTAGAGCACCTGCCTAGCATATGCAAGAACCTGGGTTCAATTCCTAGCACCACAAAAACAAACAAAAACATTCACTTCTTAAAGTATTTCCTCCTATGTGCACACAAGGAATCAGATGAATATTTCAGTGGTATATGTACTTTTCTCTAAAGTACATTTAAAACTTAAAATATTTAAAATAAAAATCACACACCTACCACCACTCATCTTGCCCTCAAGGCAAATAGAAAATATCACACAATATTTCAATATTAAAATCCTCCAAATGAAGCTGGGCAAAGTGGTGTACACCTATAATCCCAGCTGCTCCGGAGGCTGAGGCAGGAGGATCTTGAGTTCAAAGCCAGCCTCAGCAAAAGTGAGGCGCTAAGCAACTCAGTGAGACCCTGTCACTAAATAAAATACAAAATAGGGGTCACATCATCCTGCGCGGGACTCAGGCTCACAGCAGGCCTAGGTCCATCCCCTCCACCGGTGGGGCAGACACCCACCGGGGTCCAGCCTCTGACACAGGACCGCCCCTTCCAACCAGCAGACAACTGTGGGAGGTTCAAGCCTTAACACAGGCCCAAGACTACCACAGGAGCCCAGGCCTGGCCCAGATCCACCCACACGGACTTGCACAGGACCCAGGTCCAGGTGTGCATTTATTTATGGCCTGGTTTTCTAATGAAGAAAACCTGATTGGCAGAAGCCCTTATTGCATTTTAAAAATACAAATCAAGTTGTGTCACAGCAAGTCAGTGGGCTCAATTTAAATGCTTTTCTTTCTTTCTTTCTTTTTTGAAAGATAACGCAGATATTTTTATTTTTATTATTTTTAACTAATGTAAAAGAAAACTTGCTTCAATTACTAATGATGACAATGTATTGTAATAACCAAGCTGTTTAAAAAAAATTACAAACTAGGGCTGGGGATGTGGCTCAGTGCCCAAATTCAATCCCCATTACTGCCTCCCCACCCAAAATTCTCCAAATGATAAGATGAAACATCAACTCACAAAATGGGAGTATATATCTAATTTAAAGACTCATAACTGGGATATATATAAGGAACACTTACAAATCAATAACTTTAAAAAGGTCAATTAAAAATGAACAGACATTTCTTCAGGATACATAAATGACCAATATACCCATGAAAAAGTATTTAACATCATCAGCAACTGGAGATAAGCAAATCAAAATCACAATTAGGTACCAATTCACACCCACTGGGATAACTAAAATCAAAAGCAACCACCCGTGGCTACCACTAAAAGAACAGAAAATAACAAATGTTGGTGATTATGTGGAGAAACTGGGAACCTTCCATAATTTTAGTTTGACTGAAAAATGGGGTAACTGCTATGGAAAATAGTATGGAGGTCCCTCAATAAAGTTAAAAATATGACTATCATGATCCAGTAATCTCGATTCTGGGTATACATGCAAAACAACTGCATGTACATGTACGTGTTCAAATGGCACATTAACTGATAATATTTGACAGATGGAGTAACCCAGATAACCACCAATGAATAGATAAACAAAATGTAGCACCTGCACACAAGGTGTGTTATCCAGATGCAAAGAGGAAGATGATGCTGTTGTGCCCCACGTGGATAAACCTTAAGAACATTATGCCAGTTCTGCAGGATGAAGAAGTTCCACAGATCTGATTCACAACAATATGAATATACTTAACTCTACTGAATTGTATACTTGAAAATGGTTAAGATAGTAGATTTTATGTATTTTTATCACACACACACAAAAGACACTTAAGAACAAATCTTGGTGAGGATATGGAAAAACTGGGACCCTCACACACTGCCAGGGAGAAGGTAAAATGGAACAGCCATTGGATAGCAGCCTGGCGGTTCATCAGAACGTGGAACAGAGTTACCACATGACCTAGCAATTCTACTCCTGGGCACACCCTAAAAGAAATGAAAATATACATTCACCAAAATCGATACACAGCATCACTTTAACACTAAAAGGTGGAAATGACGCAAAGGTCCACCAGCTGATGAATGAATAAATGCAATTCTGCATGATGGAATATTAGCAATGAAAATAAAGCTCTCAAAATAAAAATAATGAAAATAAACCTTGAAAATATAATGTAAGTGAAAGAAGCCAACCACAGAAGATTGCATATTGTATGATCTGATTAGACAAAACATCCAGAAAGGACGAAACTGTAGAGACAGAAAATAAATTTGTGGTTGTCTAGAGCAGGCAAGAGGGGGCAGGGGAATGGTTCAGGCAGAATTCAGGTCGACTGCTGAGTATGAGGTTTCTTTGGGGGGGGGGTAGCAAAAATGTTCTAAAATCAGATTGTGGTGATGATTGTTGTACAACCCTGTGAGAACTGGGAGGGAAGAAGGACGGGGAGGAGGCAGAGAAGGTATCGGCATCACTGTAAGTCAAGAGTCCTCTCAACCTTACCTCTTCTCTCAACTTTCTGATGAGCTCTGTGTCATTGTGATGGGTTTTGATGAGCTCAGCTTTGCCACTGGCAACAAGGGATGCACTTTCAATTAGATCAGGTCGTAAAGTACCTTGGGCAAGGAAAACCTCCTCTGGCTTCAGATTCATCTCTCCAATTACCTCATTGGCAATCTATAACCAACAAGAGTGAAACAGCCTTACAGGTGAATCTTCTTAAAAAGACAGCAACATTTTATACTTAAGCTGAATGATTCAGTCTTTTGCCATACCAACCAGGATATTAAATTCACCAGCGTTTAAGAACATATGCTTCATCATTCAAAAAGTAGGTGAACTTCAGGAGCTTGAAATCTAGCTAGAGATACCCAATAAATTAAAATCCAGTATCACCTGAAAACATCTATTTTTAAATTTTAAACAATAACCTGGCAACATACATGTTTTTAAACATCAGTTTCTAATAATTTGTAAAAACAATATGTAAAAGTCTCAGCCACAGAAATAGACATCTAAATTAGCAATTTTTTAATCCGACACAATGACAAAAAAACAAAACACCAAAAAACTAGAACAAATACCAAGATCCACATAAAAAATAGCCCAGGGACACAAAAAAGAAAGGTACCTTAACAAAAGTGTCACCAATGATTTTTCTTTTCTCCTCAGGACTTGTAGTCATATTTAATGTTTTGCTAATTCTTTTTCGAGGGGTCCTGTCTTCATCTGATATTGGTAAAGTAGTTGTTCCATTGTAGAAGGAATGAGCAGCATTAATCACTGAGGGAGAGGAGATAAGTGTTTTAACCAAGAGACTAAAAATTATAAGTAACAAGTTAAACAACAGAAAACCTAGGTGGCTCCTCTGATCTCCCCTAAACTTGCCTATTTGTTCAAGAACTTTCAAGCCAGGGCTGGAGTTGTGGCTCAATGGCACAGCGTGTGCCTTGAATGTGTGAGGCCCTAGGTTCGATCCTCAGCACCATATAAAAATAAATAAAGGTATTGTGCCCATCTACAACTACAAAAATATTTTAAAAAAGAACTATCAAGCCAGCCAGGCATAGTAGTGACCACCTGTAATTCCAGCAGCTCAGGAAGCTGAGGCAGGAGGGTTACCAGTTGGGAGGCCAGATGAGGCAACTCAGCAAGACCCTGTCTCTAAATAAAAAAATAAAAAGGGCTGGGGATATACCTCAGTGGTAAAGCACCCCTGGGTTCAATCCCTAGTACCAGAAAGAAGAGAATAAAGGGAGAGGGCACAGCTCCATAGCAGGAGTAAAAACAGAAGCAGGCCACACAGGCCTCACCAATGAATCTGTGGGTCTTTCCCTTTCCTTGGTCCCTTACCCAAGCAAAAACACCTCCAAACTCCTGTTTACCAGCATTCTAGCTGTGGGACAGAGGATGTGCTAGGAGGCAATCAGTCTTCAGCATACATATTTTTACTTAAACCTCTTCACAGTACTACACCCAGTACACCAAGCCAGAGAAAAAAATCCAGTCTTCCAACAGGGAAGGAAAGCAACACTTTGCTCCTATATTCAGGAAAATGATGTACTTCTCATATTTTCAACGAACTACTACTTAGGCTCATCCAGAGACCTGTGTCCCAAAGGAGCCCAAGGCTTCCAACTCCTGAGCTCTCCCCAAAGTCAATAGTGCTGAGAGCCATAGCCAAGTCAGAATGAAGCATTGCCAGAACAGGAGTGGTTGAGAGGTGAAGCCAGCAAGCCATTGAGATAATGATGGTTATGTTAAGCTGTGTATTCAATTGTATATTAGACCCCTGCTGTCCGCCTCAGCCTGCTACTTTGGAGTTCTTGCACGGATTCCTAGAGAGCTCCCATTGGTTGGGGAAGTGCCGGAGGAGGGATTTCCGGTTGGTGTGTGGTGCGTCCCAGGAGAAGGCCGCGTGCTGGAGTTCCTGCTTGAGTGGCTCCCGATTTTTGCCCAGCCAGACTGTGGCACAATAGCACAGACCTGCTTGCTTTTGTTGTAGGCTTTCCCCCATCTCCTCCCCCAGGACTCTGAATTCCTCATACTACTACACTGACCACCAAGGACAGGTTTGTGTGGGTTATTAAAACTTCTACAATTTGAAGACCCCCTTCAAGAAAGAGAATAATAAATAAGATACCTTAAATATCACAAGTCACACTAGAAAGACTAACAAGAGCTTGGATGCACACAGAAATAATTAGAAATCATATATATACCACTAAATCCAAACTAAATATATCTCCAGCTCAATGTTTTCTTAGCCTGATCCCAAAAGGCCTATAGCCAGCCATGCCTGTACCACCCACCAGAGAATAAATTTGAATGGACAGAGATAATAAAGTCAACCAAATACAAATTACTAAAATATTTGCCAATTTCACAAAAACATGGTCCTGTGAAGATGCTGCTGGGGTCCTCCCCAGGATTTTGCAAGAGGGCTGACTAGTCGGGGCCTCTCAAGTTTAACTCCTTTCACTTAGCTGAGGAAATCCAGCAAGGCCTGTTTTCTACAGTCCAACAAATCCTCTATCTGCTATACCTGTTCCTTATCTTGCAACACTTGTACTTGCTTTATGTGTGCACTGCTATTTTAGTGAATTTCGAAAAGATAGAATTATGAAAAACCTTTTTTGAAGAGTTTTTAAAAGAAAAAATTATTAAGTAGACTGTCTACTTCATACTTACCTACAAGTCTTCATTTTACACTCAACCTTTTGCCTTCAATTCTAATTAATTAAACAATATTTACAATTTGTATTATTAAACTACTGAACTCATTTCACTGTAACCATCAATAATACCTTTGAGTATAAATGATATCCACAAATGTCAATATCACTAAGGACTAGAAGTCTGCTGGTGGTTACGATTGCCCTTTAAAAGTATGAGAGATTGTGGATTTTTTTTAAATATCTTTTTAGTTGTAGATGGACACAATACCTTTATTTTATTTGTTTATTTGTATGTGGTGCTGGGGATCGAACCCAGTCTTCACGCATGCTAGGCAAGCACTTACCACTGAGCCACAACCCCGGCCCTTTTTTTTTTTCTTTTTAAATGAGGTCTTCCTATGTTTGCCCAAGCTGGATCCAAACTCCTGGGATCAAGTGATCCTCCTACCTCAGCCTCCTAAGTAGCTCACACTACAGGTGCATACCACAGTGCCCGGATGACTACAGACCTAAATCCTTCTTCTCTGTACAAGCCTTCCTGTTTGCAAAATAATCTGTGTATTTGTACCTGTTGTAAGAGGGCTTGGGCATTCTCATGCAAGAATAACAATACAAAATCATTTGGGGAAATATAATTTAAGAGGGAGCATGACTAGAGAACAGAATGACAGCTACAAAATGGTTAACTTACCCATTTAGCATAACTAGTAGAAATCATCACTTCTGAAAATTTATACAGGGAACACTCTTGAACCAGAGGTAATTATAAAATAGAAATACGAAACATTTTCAACTTCGAGCTTATGGGAAAACTACAACTGGTTAAGGCAATGTGCTCCGTTAAGCCACAAAGCTTGGTCCCATTAAACAAATCCCGACAGGTAAATTCACTTTTCTTTGGCCCACTAATACCTTTGACCTGAATCCCAAGCTTTTTGAGGGCTTCCTCCACAGACTGGCTTTCTCGTTTCCTCATGAAGCCATTATCAATGTGCACAGCAATGACTTGATCTTGGTTCAACGCACGATTCAGCAAAGCTGTACAAACCGTTGAGTCTACACCACCACTGAGTAAAACCTACAAAGGAAAATAAAGGGGGAAAAAATCAAACTGAGCAAAATAAACAGAAAGAAAATAAACACCATCCCTTCCCCAGATCCTCCCTAGAAGCACAGTTTGTATTAAAGATATTAACAAACAAGTGCTGATGAGCAATGCAGCACACCCGACTCACCCAGTCAACACCCAAGGATGTTAAGAAATCCAGCTATGGATTCCAACATCACCCACATAACCATGTAGCGTTGTCAGATGATAATTGCTTACCAAGACTTTTGATGTGCCAACTTGCTCTTTGATCTCCCGAATGCATTCACGTTCTCTGTTCTGCACAGTGAAGGTCCCACTGCACCCAGCAATATCATAAAGGAAATTCTTCAGTATTACTTTCCCATTTTCTGTAAGGCCAACTTCAGGATGAAACTGTGCTCCGTATAATTTTTTAGACTCATTTGCTATACCTTTATAGAAAAAATAATCACAATTTTTTTTTCAGGTTGCAAAGACTCAACCGATACCCATAATTCATCCTCAAAAATCTCTCTAAAAATGTTTAAACTAATGTACTTTACTGGACCTTTATAGTTACATGGAAAGACAAAACACAAAACAAAATGACATTGCCACAATCTTTAAGGTTTTTTTTTCTTTAATATAACAATGAATAAGCTATGAGTCTTCAAGAGTACAGAGTTTCGCAGTACTGTCACTTCTCCACCAATACTTTATTTTTTTAATATGTTTTTTAGTTGTAGTTGGATACAATACTTTTCCTTCAACCATCTATTTTTATGAGGTGCTGAGGATCGAATCCAGGGCCTCACACACACTAGGTGAGCGCTCTACCACTAAGCCACAACCCCAGCCCCTCCACCAATAATTTAATTGTCATGCAGTTAATGCAATAACTTAATTTTGGTTCTTCGTCCCATATGGCTTTCACATAAATGTGCAATGGCCAGCATTTCAGAACACTTTAAGTGTTTCTCTTGAATGCCATTCCAGTGTCAGTCCTTCCCCCACTCTTCCCCTCATTGTACTGTCACCTTGAAATTAGATCAAGTCTTTCCTTTGTTCAAAGCCTCACCTAACTAAAAAAAGTGGAAGACTACAATGGTCAAAAGTCCTGTGCAGTGGACCACAATTACCTAATCTCTACCTTGTACCACTTCCTCCACGTTACTGTGCTCTATGTTGTCTTCCTTTTTTTTTTTTCCTCCTTGCAGGGGGAGTCGGGGGGTACCAGAGATTGAACTCAGGGTCACTTGACCACTGAGCCTCATCCCCAGCCCTATTTTGTATTTTATTTAGAGACAGGGTCTCACTGAGTTGCTTGGCACCTCGCTTTTGCTGAAGCTGGCTTTGAACTTGTGATCCTCCTACCTCAGCCTCCTGAGCTGCTGGGATTACAGGTGTGTACAACCTCACCTGGCTGGCTCTATATTGTGTTAAATGTGGTCCCATCCCAGGGCCTCTCAACTACTATTTCTTCCTTCATCAGATATCAAGAGTGGTCACTTCATCTTCTTCAGGTCCATTCTGTCTTATAGGAATACCTTCTCTGAACATCCTAGATAAAACAGTCATGTGCAAGCCAGGGGTGGTGGCACATGCTTGGAATCCCAGCTACTTAGGAGGCTGAGGCAGGAGGATCTCAATTTCTTAGTGCTTCAGCAAAAGTGAGGCACTAAGCAACTCAGTGAAACCCTGTCTCTAAATAAAATACAAAAAATAGGGCTGGGGATGTGGCTCAGTGGTTGAGTGTCCTTGCGTTCAATCCCCCCACCCCCATTAAAAAAAACAGTACCATTCCTAATCACCTTCTGCAACACCCCCCCACCTGTTTTTGATGTTCACACTATCTAACAGCTCACCTATTCTGCACTGTGTTGTCTACCCTCCCCACTCTCCAGGTTTCTGCCCATTTTGTTCATTCCTGATCCTTGACACCTAGAATGTGCCTGACACAAAATAGGTAGTCAAATCTGTTAAATGAATAAAAACACTGAGCCCACCCTCCACTGTACAGCTTTTACATGAAGAGGACAACTGTTCCTGATCACTCCTCTGCTAAAGTATGAGTTCTTCGAGTAAGTGCAGGCAGATTACTCGACTCAGTTCATCCATGACAAATCATTTCTAAACTTATCAATTAGGTTTGGCAACTCAAACAAAAAGAGCTTTATTGGGCTGGGGCTGGGACCTAGTGTAGAGCACCTGCCTAGCACATGGGGTCCTCAGCACCACATAAATAAATAAAATAAAGCTACCATGTCTGTCTACAACTAAAACCACACATATATATAATAAAAAAGAGCTTTATTGACAAACCCATTTTTTTCTTTTACTGATTTCCAAGGATATCAGTGATTATATAACAATTTTTAAGTAAGCAAGTTCAAACTCTGAACTGCCAAAATCCCTCTTCCTCAAAAAAAGTCGAGCATAAAAATAGTTTCTAGAAAGGACAAGACACTGAATTAAAGTATGAAGACTTGAGGGACATATAGGGTTCCTGGGTTTTATTAAAGCCCATTAATAACATAAAAACCACCCTTATATGGACACCCCCAAATCTAGGATACACGCTGGATTTGACCCACAGGTCATAGCTGGCCAATCCTGGTTGAGAAAAAAGTCTTTGAATGCTTTGGTATTTTGTAAAAATCTAAGACTTCCATTTAAAAGGCATTAAAAACAAGCAACTGTGAAAACAGCATGGAAAGAGGAGAGGCAATGTTTCCTGAGTTATGCAGTACAGTGATCTATAGTTGAAAAGCTTCTACTAGGACAACCTTTGTCAAAGTGTTTTAAAGTAAGCTAGATAATTCTTCCAATATTAAATTCCCTACTAATTAACAGTTTATCTTGCCACATCTGCAATATCTTTAAAAAATAAGATCAAAGAGGACAACACACAGAAACATATGCATACTCTGCAGATATGTAGATGAGATCTACAAATGTAAATTTCTACCTGCTACAATGTTCCCAGAACGTGCCACAACCTTAAATCCATCAGCTACTTTGTCAACACTATCTCCATGAGTAAGCAGAACAATTTCTTCCTTTTGAAGGCCCCTAAACATAAAAAAGTAAAACATCACGAATCTCAATTATAAGTGATTAACAGACTCTTTTGCTTTAGAAATGACATGCGTGGATCAAGAAAATAGATGCAAGTATATATACAGTGCAACACAGTTGGAATTCAAATTTATTACATATAAGGCAAATAGAGTATATCAAATCTTAACAAAAAACTAAAAAGGAAATCCATAAAAACTGAGAATATGTGAAGTGGTAGTTTAACCACACACAAAATAATTTCTGGAGTCTATGAAACAAAAATTTCAATATTACAACACAAATGGGTTTAACTTAAGAGAAATATTTCAAAGACCTTCATGCTTCATTCAGCAGCATGGTAGTCGTACCAAGAATGACAGTACTAACACTGATACTTCTATCCTACAGCTGTATGTAAATACAAATATATGTGTATTGTCAGTTTAAAAAAAACATAACTATTGTAATCCCATAATCTAAATGTTCAGCTTAAGAGTAAGGAGATTAAAAAAATTAGAGTTAGGTAAAAACTATAATCTGTCATTTTAATTAGAAATTATATATACTGATAATTTTCTCTTTCTAAAAGAAAACATACCGCGTCACTCCATTCATTGAAAAGTCCTACAAACAGTAACAAACTTGTAGCAACATGGACCTCCAGTGCCAAGTGAATCAGGGACAATTAAGGGGGGAGGAGCTACTATAGATAAAGAGACTTACATAATATTATACACATATAATGTGTAGATTTTCTCTGGACCCTGAGTTAGTCAGACCAATATGAAAAGATACTGCTTACATTACAGGAAAATTTGAATGAGGACTTGGTATTAAATAATGGTAGGGAATAGCACATGAACCAGGAAGACAGGAAAAAAGATCTCTTAATTTATGTATAAAACTTCTTGTGCCGGCACAAAGCACAGAAAATCCAAAAAGAAAAGGAGAGACTAAAATATAAGTGTCTGGTCTTTTAAAAAAACAATGAAAATTCAAGCCAATCAATGATTTGAGGAAACTTGTAAGCAGCTCATTCACTTTTGGATGTGTGGGGCTGGGGAGAGAAAGGCGGGTTGAACCCAAGACCCCTGCGCATGTCAAGCACACACTCCCCTCACCAACAAGCTGCACCAGCAGCCATCATTCATCAAGTTTTAAATAGATTAGAACTACCAGCAATCTTATCACCTAGCAACAAAACCAAATGCATTCATCGCATTAAAAAGACTGTACCCAGGCCACAGTTCTGCCTCCACATAAAGAAGGTGAAGGAGGAATAAAGAGTCCGCAAATTGAATGGCTTGTTAAGAATCAAGAAACAAAGGAGTGCATGCCTGGGGCAGTGGCATATGCCTGTAATCCCAGCAGCTCAGGAGGCTAAGGCAGGAGGATCATGAGTTCAAGGTACTAAGCAACTCAGCAAGGCCTTGTCTATAAATAAAATATAAGAGAGGGCTGGGGATTTGGCTCAGTGGTTAAACACCCCTGGGTTCAATCCCAGGTACCAAAAAAATTAGGGAAAAAAATAAAAGGTGTGCAGAAGGAGGTATGTGCCAGCATACAGTAGACACAGGACAGTTTAAGTCATGACTCACTTGCCACATGTGGCACACTAACATATAAGATCCACAAATGCTGGAATCACATGACAAGGTGCTAAACCACACAGGGGCCTTGAGGGCACTTCCTAAATATTCTTCTTAATCCTAACTAGCATCCGGCTAGCCTGTGCTGCCTTGACATGCACCTGGGAGGCACACACAGCAAGCTTAGGGGCCGCAGAGGATGAATTACAGAGTCTCCAATTTTGAACAATAATATCAACTTTTTAGTTAATCTACAACCTTTATTCTTCTAAAAATACCTGAACAATGAGCATGTGTTGTCCACACTGATGTTGAAGACTCCATCTTCTCTAACACTTTTTTTGTGCACCGTACCTCCAAATACCTTATTCATCATCTATTCAAAGAGAAAATTAATTGATGTTAATATGAAAAGAAAAACACTCATTGTTATGCTGATTTAATCATTTATATTCTGTTTTCCAGATTATTGTTATATTTGTATCCCCAAAATACAGGGAGTTTGATAAATGTAGATAACTTTATATTTTACATATAATTATATAGTCATTAAAAAGCATGATTATAACAAAATTAGATTAGAAATTTAACCTGAGGTTAATTTCTGTTAAACACTGGAAGACTTTCTACTTAGTATACTTTAATTAATTCATCTTTTAAAAATAGTAATATTGGTATTTAAATCACTTTAATTTAAAAAGTGACTGAAACTCGGTGTGGTGGCTCACATCTATAATCCCAGCGGCTTGGGAGGCTGAGGCAAGAGGATCACAAGTTCAAAGCCAGCCTCAGAAATGGCGAGGTGCTAAGCAACTCAGTGAGACCCTGTCTCTAACTAAAACCCAAAATAGGGCTAGGGATGTGGCTCAGTGGTTGAGTGCCCTTAGTTCAATCCCTGGTTCTTAAAAAAATAAAAATAAAAAAAGTTACTTTGAGCTGAGAAGAAAAGCAGAAATCACAAATTTAGACAAGTGTAAATTCCTCCAAGCTTTTAATTCTTTGGCACCAAAGGAGCCGTCTTAAAGTTACAGGAACTGTACTGCAGATGGGGTAAGCAAGAAAATCCAGCCTTTCAATCAGCAATCTGTTCAAATCCCATACACCTACAGACTTCTTAATTCAAATGGTTTCTTCATTCCACCCTTCCTTATGTTCACCTTCTTTAATTTTTTTTTTTTTTTTTTTTTTGGTATTGGGGATTTAATCCAGAGGTGCTTCACTACTGAGCCACATCTCCAGCCTTTTTTATTTTGAGACAGGATCTCAATAAGTTGCTTAGGGCCTTGCCAAATTGCTGAGACTTGAATTCAAGATCCTCAGCCTGCCTCAGCCTCCCAAATTGCTGGGATTACAGTGTGCACCACCATGGTAGGCATTCTTTTTATTTTTCCCATATAACCCGAACCCTCCACCCACACTAAACACACATAAGATTGTGCAAACCTCAAATCTGCACTGCCAGACTCACTTCAACTCAGTCTGCCTTCTGCACAGCAGAAGCCTAAGATGGTGGCCTGCCAGGAGCCACAGATACCTGCCCTGCAAGGTGAGAAAGGCAAAACACAGGCTGACCAGCCCCCCCACAAAGAAGCAGGCAGAGAGCTAAGGAAACACTCATTCCTAAAACTCAGAGAGGAGTATTCTTCAAAACCCTTAGCAAATGCTGCCACCTCTATAATCTCTCCTAGGGATTCACACTAAATCTGACCACAATAAAGCTTCAGATTACATCTAGCAGTAAAGGAACACACTTTGTCTAACCTGGGATTTTTCAAACTAAAAACTCAGACATATAAAACTTTCTACAACAGATTGGTTAACATGCAATTTAGGAAACACTGGTGGTGCCTTTGGGGTTTCTATTTTGTCTCTGGGGAGCAGACATAGAGTCTCTCTACTTCCTGGGTGCTACTTCTAGAGCTGCTTTCCTCCACCACACCCTTCTGCCATCATGTGCTGTCCCACCTAAGACCCAGAGCAATGGAATTGACTGACCCTGGACTGAACTCTGAAACCAAGAGTCAAACAAATAAAGGCATGCTGCCCATATATATAACTACAAAAAAATTTTTAAAAAGGCAGTTCAGAGAAATGAGTAAAAGTCACAAATAAGCCTTTACAGTAAAGAGGCGGCATGAGTGGCAAATAAACACTCTAAGTTGTTCTTGTCAGGTCTTTTGGTCAAAGTGACAAAAAGCTGACTTATCTAATTTTTGCTTTCACCTCTCATTTTCCCCATTCTCTAATCCAGTCATTGAAACTAGTAAAATCGTCTGCAGGTCTCTTCACAGTCCAGGGGCCTATTAAAGTTTATGGCCCACAGCTTTCCTTTAACTTTGCTGAATGAGAATGAATACTTTCTTCTTTAGCATCAATAAACCTCATTGTACTTCTGCCTCCCATAATTTGCAACTATAATTAGAAGACAATTGAAAAACCAAAATAACTAAGACTGTTGGAACTCTACATATCTCAGGAGTCTCAGGAATTCCTACAAAGCCCAGGGCTTGCAACAGCACTTAAAACTGTTCTACCTGGCAGAGAGCTTTTGTGCTTCTTTCTGGTTCTGTTACTCAGGACTGAAGGGACAGAGGGCAAGCAACCAGGAAAGTGTGTATTTGGAGGAGCAGGGAAACTATGTACACTAAAAAGTACTTTGTAGTTATATTTAAGTTTTAATATTCTGACTTGAAGTATAGATTCCTGAAAACATCAAGGTTCCATCTCAAAGAAACCCTATAGTTCCCCAAGTCTACCACCTAAAATTCAGGTCAGCTCCTCTTCTCTGTCTTAAGACAAAGTTCTACAATAAGGCTCTAAATGGGGGAAAGAAAGAGAGGGAAATTCTAACAACAAAAATAACCGGACAAAGCAGTGCGTCACAGCTGATGGCGCATGCCAAGTTCCAAGCCAGCCGGAGAAACAGAGCAAGACCATGCCTCAAAAATAAAAGTGATGGGAAGTTATACTCCTTGTATGCATAATATGTCAAAATAGACTCCACTATCATGTACATCTAAAAAGAACAAATAAAAAGATGAAAAATAAATAAATTTTAAAAATTTAAAAAGTAAAAATGACTACAGATTTAGCTCACTGATAAAGCTCCCTGGGTTCAAATCCCCAGTATCAAAAAACTAAAACATAATAATGTGATAAAACCTTGTGGGAATATCAAAGAAGCTAAGTGGAGAGGGGAAACAAAATAAATTGCAATCTGGATTACAATTCACACAACAAGCAAAAGTTCCATATTCAGCATCTACAAAGAACTCCCACAAGACAACTAAAAAGGCAGTTCAGGGCTGGAGCTGGAGCTCAGTGGCAGAGCACTGGGTTTGATCCTCAGCACCACATAAAAATAAACAAAATAAAGGCATGCTGCCCATATATATAACTACAAAAAATTTTTTAAAAAGGCAGTTCAGAGAAATGAGTAAAAGTCACAAATAAGCCTTTACAGTAAAGAGGCGGCATGAGTGGCAAATAAACACACTAATAAGGAGAAAGAACATCCGGACTACAGTATCTTCCCTAAATGTGCAATACAAAAAAAACTAAGCTCTGGTCATGCCAAGGGTTGACAGGGATACAGACAGAAGATATTTTTATATACTACTGTAAAAAATGCAAAATTAGAAGATGACCAGGAACACAACTCTGTCCCATATGTTGAGATGTAGAAATAATTTGTATTATATTCAAATGAATTCAGTGAAAATGAATGACTTACAATTAAATGTACTAAAATGAATAAACCTCAAAACTGAAGCTAAAAATACAGGCAGTATGATTTCATGTATATAAAGGTCAATGAACAAAACTAAACATATTAGAGATATAAACATGAATATGGCTATACAGGAAGAGAATGGGGGCTGAGGTTGTAGTTCAGTGGTGGAACACTTGCCTCACAAGTGTGAGACACTGGGTTCGAACCTTAGCACCACATAAAAATAAACAAAATAAAAGCCAGGCATGGTGGCGCACCCCTGTAATCCCAGCAGCTAAAGAGGCTGAGGCAGCAGCAATGCCAAGGTGCTAAGCAACTCGTGAGACTCTGTCTCTAAATATTTAAATACAAAATAGGGCTGGGGATGTAGCTCAGTGATCAAGTGGCCCTGAGTTCAATCCCCAATACCAAAGAGAGAGAGAGAGAGAGAGAGAGAGAGAAGAGAGAAGAGAGAAGAGAGACAGAATGGGTAAATTTCTGCCCAAAAGCCTAATTCCATTATCAAACTATGGAAGTTCAGATAATCATAAAAGACAACATTTTTTACACATTCAACATCAGCAGGCCTGGCTTCTCTCACCATGACAGAAAAATCTGGTCTTGTAATTATACAGAAAACTGATGTAACGGGGAAGTACTAAGCCACTGTCTCTTACATTAAGGGATCCAATGATCTACACAGATTTCATAACAAGCAGATTTTTTTAAAAAGTCTCATGAATGCCCCCCTTATATAATGTTATAACCCTCCCAACATCCCAGCAGCCATTCCACTTTAATTATCAAGTTGTATTACATAGTTAAAGTGGACCACTTGGGACCCGAGATCAATACATCACAAGCTGGGTGGGACAAAGGCATACAAAAGAAAACAGCCAATTTCCAATATTCAACTTAATCAGGATGCGAACTCTTCTAAGACTACAGATGGACTTTTCAGAGAACATTAAATTAGAAAAAAAAAAAAAAATAGCGGGTACACAGTGGCACATAGGAATGAGACATAAGGATGGCAAGCTCAAGGCAGCCCCTGTTGCAATCTATTTTTAAAAAAGGGCTGGGCACCTCTAGATTGATTTTCCCCCATATTACCACCAAAAACAAGGCAGAGGATACTAAATATTTACTATAATATATTTATTTGCTAGAAGATGATTCAGCAATTTGGCGAGGCCCTAAGCAACTCAGTGAGACCCTGTCTTTAAATAAAATATAAAAAAAGGCTTAGTGGTTAAACACTCCTGGGATCAATCCCTGGTAAAAATAAAAATATGGACTGGGGTTGTGGCTCAGCAGTAGAGCACTTGCCTAGCATGTGTGAGGCCCTGAATTCGATCCTCAGCTCACCGCGTAATAAATAAATAAAATGTATTGTGTTCAACTAAATCTAAAAAATAAATACTGCTTCTGACTTTTTGAAAAAGGCAAAACATGTAACTGTAACATGTCAATTAATAATAAATTACTTACAGACTAGTTTCCTACCTAACTCAATTTTCAGATGATCTAATCAAGTAAGATACATTGTTAAAAGTTCTTTTAACTAGATAACCATTTTTCTTATAATCACCAGTAATAACTTTTTGTAAAATTATCAATTTATATTCCTATCCTCTTTGTAAATAAATCTTGATCAAAATCATCTCTGTTAAGTGAGAATCTCGCATGTTACTGACTCATTATTATTTTTCTATCATCCTAACCAATGACATTGAACTTACCTGGTAAACATATACTGTATAAACTTAAAGCAAGCTATATAAAGGCTCAAATCTAGAACACTTATATCACCAAATGCTGGCAAAAATGTGGCACAGAACTCTCATTTTAAAAAATGAAGTGCCTGTTACAAGGACTGGTATGTGAAAAATGTTGCAAAACTTCAAAGATCATGACTTATGAATCAGAGAATTTGTAGGGAAAACAAGCTCTACAAATGAGAACATCATGCCAACACATTTAAGGATGGTTCAACCCTATTCCACATGAGAGGAATCATAGCAGAGAGAAATTATACCAATGTAAAAAAAAAAGTGACAAAGTCTCCAACAGCTTTTTACACCTTACTCAACACCCGAGAATTCATACTGGTGAAAGATGGTACAAGCGGAAAAAATGTCACAAAGCTTTACGCCACTGATGAAACATTACTAAACACCAGAGAATTCACAGTGCATAGAACCCTAAGAATATAAAAAAATTTCTTCAAGTCTATATCCAAATTCCACGTTATTGTTTCCTTTACTGAGAAGAAGCTTTTTAGTTTGAATCCATCCCATTTAATAATTTTTTTTTTTTTTAAAGAGAGAAAGAATTTTAATATTTATTTTTTAGTTATCGGTGGACACAACATCTTTGTATGTGGTGCTGAGGATCAAACCTGGGCCGCACGCATGCCAGGCAAGTGCGCTACCGCTTGAGCCACATCCTAGCCCCATTTAATAATTCTTGATTTTATTTCTTGTACTTAAGGAGTCTGATAAAGGAAGTCAGGCCCAAACCAACATGATGAAGATTTGGGCCTACTTTTTTCTTCTATTAGGAGCAGGGCCTCTAGTCTAATGCCTAGGTCCTTGGTATACTCTGAGTTGAGTTTTGTGCATGGTGAGAGATAAGGGTTTAATTTAGTTTTGTTGCCTAAGGATTTCCAGTTTTCCCATCACTGTTTGTTGAAGACGCTATCTTTTCTCCAATGTGTGTTTTCAGTACCTTTGTCTCTTTGTCTTCAATTTTGTACCATTGGTCTACAAGTCTATTTTGGTGCCAATACCATGCTGTTTTGTTACTATAGCTCTATAGTATAGTTTAGGGTCTGGTATTGTGATGCCTTCTGCTTCACTTTTCTTGCTGAGGATTGCTTTGGCTATCCTGGGTCTCTTATTTTTCCAAATGAATTTCATGATTGCTTTTTCTGTTTCTATGAGGAATGTCATTGGGATTTTAATTGGAATTTCATTAAATCTGTATAGCGCTTTTGGTAGCATGGCCATTTTGATAATATTAATTCCTCCTATCCAAGAACACGGGAGATCATTCCATTTTCTGCAGTCTTAATTTCAAACTTTCTTCAACCTCCAAAACCTCATACATGTAAGTAAATGTAGTAAGGCATTTGTCCAAAATATATGCCTTAGACAACAGCAAAATATTTACCACAAAGACAAAACCTTGAAAATTAATTTAAAAAAAAGTCCTTTCAAGACCTCACATTTTGATGTATATGAGAATTATTAACAGAAAGAAGGCATTTAAATATAGAAATTGGTTAACTGCCTTTAACTTTTGCTTAAAATTCATTAGATATCACTAGATAATGTGTTAGAAATAATGAAATGCTCACAAATTTCATTGTATACTGCAGACAGTTCATCTCTGAATGAATATAAAAAAAAATCAAAGACTATTAAGTATCTTTACTTTTGAAAATTGGAGGAAACCTAATTCTTACAGTTCATTATATCAGAGGAAGACTTGTCCTGATAATTTTTAACCTGTGTTTTTGGAGATTTTATAGATTTTTAATTTTAATTTTTGTACGGAGGATTGAACTCAGGAGTGCTTAAACACTGACATCCCCAGTCCTTTTTTAAAAGAAGTTTGAGACATGTCCTACCTAATTTGCTTAGGGCCTCAGTGAATTTCTGATGCTGCCTTTGAAACCACAATTATCATGTGTCAGCCTCCCAAGTCACTGCAATAATAGGCACCTGTCATCATCATACACAGCTAACTGTAAGATTTTACCATATTCACATTATTATGCTATATAATATATTATATATATATTCACACACAAAAAAGGTAGTTACTTTTCTGTAGATTCCCTATAAGGTCCATTCTATCACACTAGTATAGCAATCCATACACAGCAGTAATATGCAACCCAACTAAATAGAAATATGAATCATGAAAAGAATAAAATATAAGTGGACATCATAGCAAATTTATAGATGTACCTGCATGCCATAGCAAATACCAAGAACAGGCTTGCCAATGGTGAATATTGCCGGGTCAAACCAGGGAGCATCTTCTGCATACACAGAATTAGGTCCTCCAGAGATGATAATGGCACTGCAGATTTAAGGAAGAGTCAGTGGATACTCCAGTAGAAACAATTTCTTTATATTCTCAGCAATTTCCCCTGAGATCCAGGAGAGGGCACTAATATCAATTTTGCCCCATTTTCTAGGCTCTCAGAATTTAGGCCAGTATTATAATTGGGCTACATACAACTTGTGGAGCATCCTCTGGGTTTTACTTAGCAGAGGAACTTTGTGAATAAAGAAGAGGTACAAACTCAGGTTATGTTCCTCACTTGGACACTGATCTTATTTTTATTTGGCCCTCAACGTTCACTCAAAAAAATTAAATCATTTTAATAATAGGAGTATCACTTAAATATTCATATTTCTTTATTTTTTTTTAGAGAAAAAAAAAATTCTGACAACACCAGGCCCCACTCCTCCAAGCTACAAGAGTGTAGTCACAGCAGCTTTGTTCCTTCAGACTGTACTGTGAAGGTTTGCCATACATGGTGACTCACAACCAAGGCATACACGCGCCCTGTATGAAACTGAAAGTACCAATGGGTTTGCAGATAAATCCAATTCATCTAATTCAGTTTCAATTAAATTAATTCATCCAATTCATCTAAAAAAGACAAACTGCAAGATCTAACCAAAAGTCTACATAAACCTGGGTTAAAATTTACCCTTTACCTAGAGGCTGCCAGCCGTGTAAAGACATGAAATACACTGCTAAGCTTCTAATAATTCAAAATAACATAAAAAAGCAACTCAGTGGGCTGGGGTTGTGGCTCAGTGGCACAGCGCTTGCCTCACATGAGGCACTAGGTTCAATCCTCAGCACCACATAAAAATAAAACAAAATAAAGATATTGTGTCCAAGTATAACTAATTTTTTTAAATCAACTCAACAAGCTAGGGCATGCAAATATATATTAAAAAACAATATTCTTTGGGAGCTCAAAAATCACCCTCTTAACTCCGTAGGTAACATGAGATATAGTATTCAATGTTTCCTGTAAAAGAGAGGTGCAAGACAACCTACTCAAATAATAAATGTGAAGGGGTGTAGCATTAGCCCTACATGTAGATCTGTAACCTAGATCCTTAAAAATATAGAAGCTTAAATTCTATAAAACATTTTTAACATTCAATAATATCAGTAAGTTACTTTTAGTTTTGTAAAGGATAACCACCACCCTGGGACCACCCATGATCCTTCATTAACCTACTGAACAACTCAAGAAGATAAGATTCTTAGTACAATTAAAAATATGATGGCCTAAAGCCAGGATAAAACTTAAGCAGTACTTAAACCAATTATGAACCGTCTTATCTCAATAAATCTTGAGAAGAGCTTTCCAGAGTTCTCAATTCCTACTCTATTTTGAAACTAACTTGCAATTATAAGGCACAACAAGACACAAGTCATTATAAATACCAATGCTATGTATTAGGCAGATCAAGATCTTTAAAACAATTAGAATGTCTCTCATGCCACAAACTAACATTTATTGTTCAAAGGGGTAGTCAGAGAGCAATGCCAGCAGGAGGATGACAGTGACCTGAAAGGCAAGGTGCTGTAGCTCCTCTCCAGTTGCAGAGAGCAGCGCTGGGTAGCTGCACCTAGCAACTGTTAGGAAGAACGCTTAAGAGTTTGGTGATCAAGCATTTGGGTCTCCATATTTTAAAACCTTTGTAGTCTGAGTTAATTTAACAGGGTATTTTTCTGTGTTTCAAATGAGGTGAACAATGAAGCTTGGGTTTGACAGAATGTTTCTGATTTCTCAATTCTTACTGGTAAATCAAAGACAACAAAGTTAGATGAATTCAAGGATTCCTTCTTGCCCTACAATACATTTCAGAGAGAGTCATCTTTAATCTGTATCCTAAAACTAGAACAGAGTTAAGTTTAAGCCTGCCTTTTTGATTTCCAATTCATTCTACTTCAGAAACCAAAAATCTCACAGGATAGCATATACATATCTGTGAGGTCTTTAAAAATTCTTTGAACCATTTTTCACTTGAACAAATTAATGTTTTTAAGGAAAATAAAACACATTTGGGGGGCTGGGGATGTGGCTCAAGTGGTAGCGTGCTCGCCTAGCATGCGTGCAGCCCGGGTTCGATCCTCAGCACCACATACAAAGAAAGATGTTGTGTCTGCTGAGAACTAAAAAATAAATATTAAAATTCTCTCTCTCTCTCTCTCTCTCTTAAAAAAAAAAAAAACACATTTGGGGAGAAGCACAGCACCTCCAATATTAGATTTAAGGAGAGTTACGGGCAAGAACTGCAGCCGCCTGCTTCTGGAAGACTCTTAACCAAGAAAGGTAAGCATGCCATAAGAAAAGGCACAGCACTCGCCAAAGTGAGGCACTGAAGGAAGGAACCACATATAAACCAAATGCTGCCTGACCACAAGGGTACAAGATGTTGCAATTGGCCCTTATATTAGACAAAGATCTAAAATTTTTTCTTTGCTTTTACCCCAAATCAAAGTCATGGGAAATTTCTTGTAAAACCATTCTGCATGGTTTTCATTAAAAAATTCAGTGTCCAAGCAAACTAATAACAAAATATTCCATCCTACAAAGTCAAACCCCTCTTAAAAACATCAATGAAAAGTCTACCGGAATCCTTGTTCCTTTATGGCAAAGGCTGGTGTTTCCAAGGGGAATATTTCAGACTGCACGAAGAGTTCCCGCACTCTCCTGTCTATGACTTTCCCATACTGAGCACCGGCGTCCAAGATGACAACAGCTCCTTCGTAGTGGTGGCAGCCATCCTTGAGGTCTCCTCCAGCATTCTCCAGCTGCAAACATTGACACAAACATCTGAATTATGAAAATCACAGCTACTTAAAAAAAAGGGGGTGGGGTGGACAATATCAGCTCCAAAAAAACACTAAACTGTTATCTTAGGACAATGAATTGCCAATTTAATTTTTCTTTTCTCTTTTTTTTCTTTTTTTTTTTTTTTTCAGGACAAGATACTTTATTTATTTATTTTATGCAGTGCTGAGGATCAAACCCAGCGACTCACACATGCTAGACCAGCGCTCTGCCATCAAGCTACAACCCCAGCCCATCTTTTAAAGGGAAGATTTGAATACATATCCATGTTATTGGCATCCAAACCAAATATGAAGACCAATGGAACAGAAGACACAGAGACAAACCCATGTAGTTATAGTCATCTGATACTCAACATAAGTATCAGATGCCAATAACATGCTGGAGAATAGACAGCCTTTTTAACAAATGGTGCTAGAAAAACTGGATATCCATATTTAGAAGAATGAAAATAAATTCATCTCTCTCACCCTACAGAAAATTCAACTCAAAGTGTTATCAAAGACCTAGGAATTAGACCAGAAACTGCAAGTTTCTGAATAAAACATAGGGTCAACACTCCAATACATTGGCACAAGCACTGATTTCCTTAGCAAGACATTTAAAGCTCAAGAAATAAAATCAAGAATCAATAAGTGGGACAATATCAAATTTAAAAGGTTCTGCACAGCAAAGGAAAGAGCATGAAGAGAAAACCTAAAGAAGAGAAAAATCTTTGCCAGCTACTCCTCTGAGAGGGAATTAATATCCACCATATATGCAGAACCCAAACTTTTAACACCATAAATAAATAGCCCAATCAATAAATGGACAAAATAACTAAACAGATATTTCTCAAAAGAAGAAATACAATGGCCAACAAATATATGCAAAAAATGTTCAACAACTCTAACAACCAGGGAAATACAAATCCAAATTGCATGGAAATTTCATCTCACTCCAGTCAGAATGGCAATAATACAAATAATAATAATAATAATAAACGGTGGCAAGGACATGGGGGAAAAGGTACACTCATACAGTGCTGGTGAACTACAAATTAGTACGACAACTCTGGAAAGCAATATGGAAATGCTACAAAAGGACTAAGAATGGAGCCAGGCACAATGGCACACTCCTATAATCCCAGAGGCTCGGGAGGCTGAGGCAGGAAGATCACAAGTTCAAAGCCAGCCTCAGCACCACTGTGTTCAATCCCTGGTTCAAAAACAAAAGCTAGGAGCAGTGGCTCCAGAGGCTGATGCAGGAGGATGGCAAGTTCAAAGCCAGTTTCAGCAATGGTGAGGCGCTAAGCAACTCAAGTGAGACCTAAATAAAATACAAAACCGGGCAGGGGATGTGGCTCAGTGGTTAAGTGCCCCTGAGTTCAATCCCTGATACCAAGAAAAAGAAAACAAAAGACTTAAGAATGGAATCATGGTAGTGTGACCCACCTATCCTATTTATCCTATTATCCTATCCAAAAGAACTAAAATTGCCATACTATGGTGATATAGGAACATCAATTTTTGTTTGTGTCAGTACCAGGGACACTTAACCATTAAGCCATATACCCAGCCCTTTCTATGTTTTATTTTGAGACAGTGTCTCACTAAATTGCTGAAGCTGGCCTCAACTTGTAATCTTCCTAACTCATCCTACCTAGTCTCTGGGATTACAGTTGTACACCACCACACCTGCACAGAACATCAATTTTTATAGCAGCACAATTCACAATAGCTGAATTATGGCTTCAACCCAGATGCCCATCAAGAGATGAAAGAATTAAGAAACTGTGAAACTGTGGTATAAATACACAATAAAGTTTTAGTCCATCATAAAGAATGAAATCACAGCATTTGCCAGTAAATGAATGGAAATAGAGAATACTATGCTAAGTGAAATAAGCCAGACTGGAAAAAAATCAAGGGTCATATATTTTCTGGTTACAAGGGGAAGCTAGAGCAAAATAAGGGTAGGGAGGGTTGGCATGTAGTTCAGTGGTAAAGCACCCCTGGGAGGGAGGGAGGGAGGGAGGGAGGAAGGAAGGAAGGAAGGAAGGAAGGAAGGAGAGAAAAGCAAATATTAACTTGCTTGCACAAAATAAGTAATAAATAAATCACAGAACAAAAAAAGTTCCACTATTATTAATAAGATCAAAACAATGACGTATCTGCCAGTATTTCTGTTCATTTAAAATTTCCTAAATTAAGGGCTGCGCATCTAAAATTTGTTCAAAACAGGATGTCAGAAACCTTAAGTCCTAGCTGGGCGTGGTGACCAGAGACTCAGGAGGCTGAGGCAGGAGGATCAGGAGTTCAAAGCCAGTCTCAGCAAAAGCAAGGCACTAAGCAATTCAATGACACTCTGTCTCTAACATACAAAACAGAGCTGGGGATATAGCTCAGTGGTTGAGTGTCCCTGAGTTCAATCCCCAGGGGTAAAAAGAAAAAAAAAAAAAGAAAGAAAGAAACCTTAAGTCCTAGATTCAGTTCATAATGAGACTAAAAAGAACTCCTGAGATTAGTTCTCCACATTTCAGATGAGGTGAAGATGATTTAAATTACATGGCACACTGTGAGGTTTTATTTATTTATTTTTTTAAAGTTGTAGTTGGACACAGTACCTTTATTTATTTATTTTTATGTGGTGCTGAGGATCGAACCCAGGGCCTCACGCTTGCCAGGCAAGTGCTCTACCACGGAGCTACAACTCTAGCCCCAAAATGTTTAATATCTTTTGCAATAAGGGAAATGTAAATCAAACCTCCACTGAGATTTCATCTCACTTCAGTCTGAATGGCAAAAATCCAGAATACAAATAATAACTGCAGGTAAAGATGAGAGGGAAAAGGCACACTTAGTCACTGCTGGTGGACCCTGAATTAGTACAACCACTATGGAAATCAGTACGCGGTTCCTCAAAAGACTAGGAATGGAACCACCAGATGACCCAGCCCTGCCACTCCTCAGTATTTATCACAAAAAAAATGTAAAGTAAGCAGAGTGCAGTGGCACACACCTCCAATTCTATACTCAGGAGGCTGAGACAGGAAGATTCCAAATTTGAGGCCAGCCTAGGCAATTTAGAAAGACTGTCTCTCAAAATAAAATGAAAAGAGTTGAGGATGTAACTGGGTGAGTGCCTCTGGGTACAATCCCCCATATCAAAAAAAAAAGGAAAAAAATCCATTTATTATTAAAAAAAAAAGAATTTTAAAATCAGCATACTATGTTTAATGCAGCATGATCCACAATAGCCAAGTCATGGAACCAGCCTAGGTGACTGTCCACAGATGAATGAACAAAGGAAATGAAGTATATGCACACAATGAAGTTTTATTCAGTCAAAAATAATGAAATGTGGCATTTGCAGGAAAGTGGACAGAACTTGAGAGCATTGTGTTAAGCAAAATAGGCCAAACTCAGAAAGTTAAGAATTGTATGTTTTCTCTCAAATGTAGAAGCTAGAGAAAAAAATGTATGAAAGCGGGGGGAGAATCTCATGAAAACAGAAGGGAGGCCCATAGAGGAAGAGGACTGGGGAAGTGTGAGGAAAGGGCAAGGGGAGGCAGCTCGGCATAAAACCAGTCAAATATGTGTGTATGAATATGTCACAACGAATCCCACTATCATGTTTAATTATATAACACACCAATAAAACTGATTTTAAAAAACAAGTAATTTATGACCTCAATTTTCAAGAATTTTATAACAGCCTTGTTATTAGCACAATTATTAATTCAAAAAATAATCCTAACATATATACATTAGGTTTGAACTTTAGCCAAATTGTAAATACACTTTACTAGAAATCAGAGCCAGACTCAGAACAGCAAGTGGTCCACAGTGAAGTGACTGCACAGACCAGATCACCCAGGACTGTCCAGTGTATCTCACAACTTAACATTTGTCTGAGATCTTCCATTTTTAACAACATATTATCATGTAAAATTGCATTAAGGCAGGATGAGAGGAGCTTGCTGGACTTTCACTCTACATTTCCACCTCCTGCCACTGCCTTAGCTCTCTTTAACTTCTGGTTCTGTCTGAGAGCCAGACAGACAACACAGCTCTTTCTGTATACAATACAGCACACTTGGACACTGGCATTACACTAGGGGTAGCTAGCTACCCGATCTCAGATGAGAATGGACACATATGAGAATTTGCAGTGCCCACAAGACAGTGGGTCCACCTGCCAGTTGTGGCAGAGCCATTCCACAGCTTGCAGATGCACAAACCCTCTAGGCCATCATATTCTGGGTGGAGTGGAAAAGGTCAGATTTTGAGAAATACAGATAGGAAAGATGCTGAAGGCTCCTGTGCATTGTACAGAAGAGAGTAAACGAAGCACTCTTGCAACAGGTGTTTTGCCATTTACTGAATTGCCTAAAGCCACAATTATTTATTTTGTTTGATAACATTTTATTTTGCAGCGATATTTATCAATTATTTCCACACTTTTTATGCTTGTGTCTCCATTTAGGCACTAAGAGTATATAGTCATGCTGCTACAACCACTCTCTTCCTAGTACATTATTTTACTGAATAATCTTGAGTATAAAGACTTAACAACAAAAAAGTATCACCTGGATCCTCAAAAACATAAACCTGAAGCCATGGCAAGGGTCCAACAAGAAAAACAACTGTTAAGGTACTACTATAGCAAAGCTATATTTATTAGATCACTGTGATTTTGAATACAAAAAAAGTCTTTATTCCACAACAAGCACAAAAAAATAAAATTCTACCTAACCTGTCGTTAAATATATGCAAGATTTAAAACTCTATGAAAAAAATCCTTTCTTGATTCAGAATTATGTATTAACCCCGAGGGCTTCACTCATTTTAAGCATCTATATAGAGTTTAGATAGAGTCAAAAAAACAAACCAAAAAAAAAAAAATTTAAGTACCATAAGAAGAGTTTATTTTGCACAACAAATAATCATTCCTTACTTCAAATAGTATCCTCCAGATTATACTTCAGTTTATCTTCAAAATAAGTATAGGACAAGTCTATATATAAAAAACATGCCAGGAGCTGTGGCAGATGCCTGTAATCTCAGGTTGAGGGAGGAGGATGGCAAGTTCAAAACCAACCTCAGCAAAAGCAAGGCACTAAGCAACTCAGGAAGACCCTGTCTCTAAATAACATACAAAACAGGGCTGGGGATGTGGCTCAGGGGTCTTCGTTCCCCAGTACCCCACCAAAAAAATAAAAAGAGCTGGGGATGTAACACAGTGGCAAAGTGTCTAAGTTCAATCCCTTATTCCAAAAATAAATAAATAAAAATAAAATAAAACCCCAAAATTCTATAATTTTATAAAAATAAAACCTAAAATTCTTGGGTTGGGGATGTAGCTCATTGGAAAGGAACATGACTACCACATACAAAGCCCTTCTTGTTCAATCCCAGCACTACACACACACAAATTTTCTTAAAAAGACAATTATTTTTCCTAAGTGACAAGTTGGCCTACTCTAAAAGTAATGTCATCTGAGGTTCCTGGAAAACTTTCAAATTCTTTCAAATCTAAGAACATACTACAATAAAAACCATTCTTTTTGCAATATACTTACAGAACAAAACAAGAAGGTAAAAAAATCCATCTTTGAACTTTGAAATTTTTTTCACATAACACATTATTATAAAAGGTGATAACTGGGCTGTTATGGCTCAGTGGCAGAGCACTTGCCATGCACTTGTGAGGCACTGGGTTCAATTCTCAGCACCACATAAAAATAAACAAACAAAATAAAAATATTTTTTAAAAGGTGATAATTGTTTAATTCCCAAAACATCCCAGATGAAAAATCCAGGTTATAGTTCCATTAAATTTAAAACCTTAGTTTTGAAAGTTTCAACTTTAAAGTTAACATTATTAGGGCTGGGGATATAGCTCAGCGGTAGTAGAGTGTTTGCCTAGCATGCATAAGTTCCTGGGTTCAATCTCCAGCAAAGAAGAAAAAACAAAAATTCACACTGTTAGATACCATTCAAGAGTCTATATTACCCAATCAATAGATAACACCTTTAATCCAAGCCTCATACACCCAGTCATAACATCTCAGGGAAGGTACCACCCTACTCCAATCAAGAGCCTTCAGCTTAGACAAGGGGACAAACAGCAGGAAACTAGACAAGTCATACAAACAAGCCCACTGATAATGCTGTCTTCTTTATATACAACCTTGCCATAGTGAGAAAAAGTATTTCGAGAAACGCTGTTTATGCTTGTGTTGATATGAAATGAGATCTTTCGCTTAATAACATTACATCAGTTCCTTAACTAAACAAACTAGTCTGCCTTGAGGTTAACCAAGTAGCTTGGAAGAGAAAAGAAAAGAAAAAAAAAGCTAGATTCTAATCCCAGCTATGACATACAGGTCCTTCCTTCCCAGCTCTAAAATGCTATGTACAAAACCAAAGAAAATATCCGAATTATTTTACAGCATTTAGGTCACTCCCTAGTCTGTACTGTACAAAAATGCCATTTTAGAAAACTCTGATAAATGTACCAGAAATAGAAATCAAATCCGGCCCTTTCCCAATTTTTAATTTATAAACTAGGATGTGCATATAATATACAGAAGCATAATTAATGTCCCTTTTTTAAGCCAGAATTAAGTTCCTCAGTATTTTACTGGTATTTTACTCTCATGGGACAGTGGTTCAGTGGTAGGCTCTGGAAAAGTGACTCCTACTCAGACTTCCAGGTGGGTCTCTTAGAAAATCTTACTTCAATTATTTACTGTGCATATTTCCCTATATTTAACATATCTTTACTTTAAATACTTAAAATCAGGCATCAAGGATTCTCCCTCACCCTTAGTACATAAAAATTATAGATTTGATTAAATATGTTAATTCCCCAATTGCTCCTCTTGAAAATGCTTCCAACTTGATTCACATCCAATTTTCAAAATACTTTTGTAAAATGGTTCATTACACTATAAAGATATCGAGGGCCTTGAAATAAAACTTAGTTCACCTTGGGCTCAAACTATCAAACTGATCAAGATTCTCTTTAAAATTCCCGGTCAAGTCAAAACAAAAGAAGGGGGCCTATCTTAATGTCAGTCTTCCTCTTCTCGGACGCACTAGGTAATTTTCAAAGCATGAAAATTAGGTCTGAGTCCTTCTAATGCTAACAGTTGATTCATCTGTGAGCCTAAAGATGGATCTTTCCGCGAGTTGTAACGATCAAAATTAGGGCAAGTGGAGAGAGCTGCACTCGGGTTCACATCAGCTTCTGAGGTATGAAACTAAAGGGTTGAGCGTCTCATCCGGCTTTAGGATCAGAGGAAGAGCTCCAGACAGCCTGCGCATCACCAGTACCTCATGACCGGTCTCGTCCGTTCAGCAAACAGGTCGTGACCAGGTACCGAGCGCCCGTCCTCTCACAGCGACCTGCAGCCAGGACTGGACACCGCAGCCCGCTCGGCCAGGTCACGTCCATCGAAGCCAGCCTTCCACGCACCCCAGCGACCTTGACCCACGTGCTTCCGAAAGCCTGGCCACATCGTGCACCGCGCACACCTTGCCCCGGGAAGGCGCACCTCGCACCCGGGCCAAACGCCTCGAGGCGGGGCTGGGCCGACTCCGGGCCACTGAGCCCCACGCCGCGCGAGAGGTGGCGGCAGGCCCGCAGCGGGCAGGAGGCCGGTGCCCGAGCAGGGCGCGCGGACGGGGCGGCCCCTGCTCACCTGCCAGCGCGCGGGCCGCGGAGAGGGGCGCAGCGGCCGAGGGCGGCAGGCGGCGGGTGGCGGAGGAGGCCGGCCCGAGGCGGCGACCCCGCGGGGCTCGGGCTCCGAGGGCCTCCGAGGGCCCCCGCCGGCCCTGCGCCCCCGCCGGCGGGGCTCACCCGCCCCGACGCGCAGGCGGAACCAACAAAGCGGCGCCGCTCCCGGCGCAGGCTCGCGGCGGGCGGGCCGGGGGACTGCCCTGAGCCAGGCCCGGCGCGGGAGGTGAGAGGCCGCCGAGGCTCGGGGTCGGGCCCCGCGCCGCAGCGGGCGGGAAGCGATGAGCGCGCCCGAAGCTGACCTTGGAGTCTCCGTTGCACAGAGCCATCGGGGCCGCAGCGGCAGGCGCACGAGACGCGCTGTGAGCTGCCGGAGGAGCGGACGCCGCGGAACGAGGCCGAGCGCAAGGCCTGGAGGCGGAGAGTGTCGGGCCTGATCCGCGCGCGAGCCCAGCGCCGCGGGAGAGCAGCGCCGCCGCGCGCCGCACTCGCTTCCGCCCGAGCACGGGGAGGAGCCGGGGCGTGGCCAGCGCTGGTATCCGCCCCTGAGTGGGCGGGGTCTCCTCTGAGGACCGCCCCCGCGGCCACAAAGAAGCGGTCCCCACACCGCCCTGAGGAAGAGTTCGCAGGGCCTCACGCCCCTCGCCTCCGCCTGGAGGAGGATCCCTCTCGCCTGCGCTGCGGCCCCTCCAACCGCAAGGCCCGGGAGCTGCCCTGCAGCGCTCAGACCCCAGCGCAGGCAGAGTGGCGGGCCCAGGAGAGCACGCTTCTGCAGAGCTGCTCTGGGGGCCCTCGGGGGCTGCGAGATACCGGAGGGGCCCTGGCCGCGTCCTGCTTCGAAAAGTCTCGTGGTCAATTAGGGGGCATCAGTGTGGGACTGGACCATTCGATCCATCCAAAGGCCCATAGCCAGGAGCGGTGGCACACTCCTGTAGTCTCAGCGGCTCGGGAGCCTGAGGCTGGAGGGCCGCTGGAGGTCAGCCTCAGCAATTTAGCGAGACCCTGTTTCAAAATAAAAGCGCTGTGGCTGGGGTTGTCGCTCAGTGGCACGTGTGAGACTTGATCCTCAGCACCACATATAAACAAATAAAATAAAGACATGTCCATCTATAACTAAAAAAAGATATATATTTTAAAATGAATAAAAAGCTCTGGGTGTAGCACGGTGGTAAAGTGCCCCTGGGTTCAATCCCCAATGGATGCCGGGCTGGGGAAGTGGCCACAGCAGGAGCAGCATTTCCAAAAGAACGGAGTTGGGGAGCGGCTTTTAGATAGGCTGCTGAGCCAAGAGACTGCTCTTGCAGCTCTATTTATATAGCAAACAAACTTTTTTTTTTTATTATTAGGATCTTTGGAGGGAGCGAGCTGCAGTCCCTCTACTTACCGATCAAAACAAGTATTGCCTTGAATTTCGTTATCCAGGGACTCAAATTGGGGTCGAAACGACACTAACAGTTTTGTTTTGGGTAGCGGCGATTAAACTCTGGGGCCCTCGACCTCTAAGCCACATCCCCAGCCCTATTTTGTGTTTTATTCGGAGAGGTCTCCCTGAGTTGCTTAGCACCTCGCCATTGCTGAGGCTGACTTTCAACTCGCCATCCTCCTGTCTCAGCCTCCCAAACCTTTGGGATTACAGGCGTGCGCCACCTGACTGACACTAACACTCTCGAAATTCTTCCCCTAACAAAACCTTTCTACAAATACCCAGCTCTTTCCATACAGGGGGCTCATGCTTTGCTACCCGAGGTGCACACCTGTAATCCCAGCAGCTGGGGAGGCTGACAGTAGGATTGCAAATTCAAAGCCAGCCTCAGCAATTTGGAGAGATCCTGTCTCAAAATTAAAATAAAATAAAATAAGAAAGGATGGGGATGTGGCTCAGTGGTTAAGCACACCTGGGTTCAATCCCTGGCACCAAAAAAAGAGAGAGAAAGAATTGGAGTTTCTTAGCCTGGCACTGTGAGCACACCTCCTAGAGTGAGAAAGGATAGTAGGAAGTTGGAGGCCAGGCTCGCACCTTAGCCAGGTCCTAAGCAACTTAGCTAGACCCTGTCTTAAAAAATAAAAAGGATAGAGGGATTTAACTCACCCTGCATTCAATCCCCAGTGCCAAAAAAAGAAAAGTTTTTAAAAATAAAAGAGAATTGGTATTTCTGTCTCCCTGATACAGAGGAGAAAATCAAGTTTGAGTGAATTAATATGCTTCTCAATACAGAAGTAAAGGTTACCCAACCTGGAAAAGAATAGGTTTAGACTCAAAATATTCCACCTACCTTTTTTTGAGCTGAAAAATGAATATTGGAGCCCTCCAAAGTCATGGATACTGGGTTGTCTTGGTGAGTCTGTGAACAATCTGGAGAATACTCTGGTAGCCAATAGGAGCGTCTCAGCTTGCCTAAATGTTCACCCCTGAGGGCATGGAATGTGAGGTGATGTGCTGACATCCAGGATTGGCTAGCTCTCATCCATATTAGACAATGTCTACTTTAAATGTTTTCTGGAGGTCACTTGTGTTTATTAAGAATTTCAGCATACACTAGGATCCCTGTTGAAGTTCCTCTTGGACTTTGGACTCTGTTGACCCCCCTGCTGTCTTGAAACTATTTCCCTTACAGTGCTCCATAGTGGCATCTTTTCATACTATGATTACTCTTAATTGCCTTTTTTGCCTTATCCATATCCTCCCTAGTCGTCATTGTAGTGTTCTTCAGTATTTGCATTTCTAGCCCCCTTCTCATCTTAACTCTTCACCTGTTTCCCTTTAGCACTTATTTAAAAAATAAATTACTCCTAAGAGGCTCCTGAGATCTCTTTTCTGAGCTCCAGATCTATTTAACTGTGTATACCCTCAGTTGGATATCCCAACATTGTTTTGGACCCCAAACACAACAAATACAGCACACTAATTTCTGTCCCCAAATTTTTGTGCCTACTCTCATTGGCGCCATGATATTATTACCAAAAGCTCGGCCTTCATAACCCAATGCCAATCCAATAACAAGGACACAGTTTTGAGAAAAAGGAAAAAGAAGTTTTATTGCCAGGCACGGTGGTGCACACCTGTAATCTCAGTGACTAAGAAGGCTGAGGCAAAAGATTGACAGGTTCAAAGCCAGCCTCAGCAATTTAGTAAGGCTGTAAGCAATTTAGGGAGAACTTGTCTCAAAAAATTAAAAAGGGCTGGGGATATCTCTCAGTGATAAAGTACCTGGTACCAAAAATAAATAAATAAAGTTAGTTTCATTGCTTTCCAGGCAAAGGAGAAACACAGGAGACTTCTGTCCCAGAGGTGTGATTCTCTCCATCAGAGAGATCAGGGGATTTTTAAAGAGGTGATTCAAAGGATACATTCCTGGTATTCCCTGTGCAGATTTGTAATTCACTTGTTGATTTGAGAGGTAGTCATTTCGTAGATCTGCTGGTGCCATCTCTTAAATCTGAGTTACTTGGTTGGAGTGGTAGGTGTGTGCTTAAGGACAGATAATTTTTCTTAGGATGGGAAAGAAAAGTAATCCTGTTTCCCTTGAGATTAAGGAGGGGTAGGGATGAGGGAGGAGAAGGGGGAGAGGAAGAGAAAGAAATATATATTTTTGATAAAGACCCTTTATCAAGTTGAGAGCATTTCTTACTGAGAGTTTTTATCAAGAATGGATATTGTGCTGGGCTTGGGGGCACACACCTGTAATCCTAGCAACTCAGGAGATGGAAGCAGGAGATTGCAAGTTCAGGGACAGCCTGGCCAACTTAGCAAGACTTGTCTCAAAATAAAAAATAAAAAAAGGACTGGGGCTGTAGCTCCATAGTAGAGTGCTGCCAGGTTCGATCCCCAGAACTGAAAAATAAAATAAAATTTTGAAATACTAGGGACTTGGAAAGTAGCTCAGAGGTGGAGCACTTGTCTAGCATGCGAGAGGCCCTGGGTTCCATCCCCAGTGTCACACAAAAGAGATTGACCTTGTCCAACTCTGTTTCTGTAGCCACAGATAACTAAATAGTTTTGTTTTTCATTTTGTTAATGTGGTAAATAGGGTGATTGATATTTGACTATTAAACCAGTCCTACATTTTTGGGATAAACTTCAACACATCTTTTTTTTTTTTAATTGTTGATGAACCTTTATTTTATGAATTTATTTATTTATTTATATATTTAGATGCAGTGCTGAGAATTGAATCCAGAGCCTTGCACATGCTAGGAAAGCACTCTACCCATTGAGCCACAACCCCAGCCCTTAATACATCTTGATATACTTTCATTTTTATATGTTGGACTTAATTTGCTAAAATTCTGGTTTTGAATTTTTGCATCTACAATTGTGTAAGTCATTTTTTTGTCACTGTGACAAAATACCTGACAAGAATAACTTTGAGGGGAAAAATTTATTTTGGCTTAGGGTTTCAGAGGGTCAGTCTATGTTGGGCCTGAGATAGGGATTTAGGATAAAGAAAGAGAAATAGGGAATCTTAAAGGATCAGAGGCTGGGGCTAGGGCTCAGTTGTAGAGCACTTGCCTAGCATGTGTGAGACACTGGGTTCAATTCTCTGCACCACCTATAAATAAATTAAATAATAAAGGTCCATTGACAACTGAAAAAAAAAAAAGAAACACCCATAAGCAGAAAGCATAGTTCTAAATCTTGAGCAAGAAGCCCTTGGCCCATGCCCTTGTAAAATGAGGAAAATACACAAGGGCAAGGGAAAACTGGCGGAATTGTGCAGTTCTACCTTGGATCCACCTCTGGTCAGCCCCTGGTATAGCCCTTCTATAAATATTGGACCCTCAGCCCAAGTCAGGGGTGCTGCTCACTCTCAAGACAGCCCACACACTCCCTTGAATGAGTATCTGTTATGCTTGAATTTGGGACCCACCAGAGACCAAGATGGATGTAAGCAGCAAAGAGGTGTTTATTGCGAGCTAGCTCGGTCCTCCGAACGCATACACAGCAACTGGTGACGCTGAGAGACCCCGAGCCCAGAGTTTGCAGCAGTTTTATACACTCTTTGGGGAAGGCAGGGACTTCACATACATCATAGCATCTCTTAGCAAATCATCACACACTGAGGGGAAAATCAAACAACTCTAAAACATGATTAGCACATTCACTGGTGGGAACAAGTTGGGTAGGGGTGTGTTTGAACTGATTGGTTTAAACCAAGAGGGGTGTTCGTGCTGATGAACTACATGGTTTCCCAACACCATAAACTACTGGGAGGGTCATCTGGCATCCCAGGTATTTCCCTGTCTCATGCTGATTGGTGGCTGCTAGGGGGCTGGTATGGGTCCCTCCTAGCCTGACTGAGTCAGGGACACCTGGCGCAGCAGATCTCTCCTGTTATTTGTAGATAAACAACTTAGCAGGGTGGGAATGTGCCTAGTAGTGCTCTGTGGGTCTTTCCAAGGACAAAGGTCATGTCCCTTCCTTGGACAGGCTTTGCTCTGAGGTAGAGGCTGGTTTTTCATATCTACCTTCCTAAATATATCTCTGTCTATGACTTTGGCTGGTGCTGAAATTCTTTTCCATTACGTATATCAAGAACCCCACTTGTCCTGGGTTCAATTCCCCCTCTTCTCTGGGAACTTCTTGTACCTTTCTTCGGAGACATCTTTTCTCCTGTGACAGGCCAACTCAATTGCTCTGGACCCAAGGAGAGGCAGAACATCATGGTGGTTAGGAGTGTTGAAGGAAAGCTGCCCTATTTCTGACAGTCAAGAAGAAGAGAGAGAAAGAGTCCAGTGGCAGCTCCCAGTGACCCACCTCCTTCAGCCACACCCGACCTGACCAAGATTACAGCCTTGTCAGTCCATTCAAACTAAGTTAGGTTACAGCTCTC